TCTTGTTTGACGTGCGAATCGTAACCGCTGATTTTCCTGGGTGATCCTTGGGAAGTGTGACTTTAGTTGCTGGGCCACCACCTGTCCTGTCTTCCGGCAGCTGCGCGTCGAGCTCTGTGCCCACCTGCTGGATCGCTGCGTCGACGGCTTGGGCGTGGTTTTCCGTCTGGCCGCCGGTAGGTGGTCGGCCTAGCGCTGTTTTAAGCTTATTGAATAGATCGTCAGCTTTCTTGTTAACAGCATCTATTTTGGCTGCGATGCTGCCGGTGCCTGACGGCCTGACCGTGAGGGCGAATTGCTCAAGCGTTTTCGCCGCTTCCCTTGCGGTAGTGCTGAGCGCGACCAAAATTGCTTCGACGGCATCATTGAGATGATACCTATAGAAATTGGCGGGAGACTTGTTGAGTTTGTTCTGTTCCGTGAGAATGCGCTCAATCTCCTGGACAATATCTCCAACTTCGTTTGCACGAGCATTATCAAGCTCCTGTGCGAATTGTTTGCATACATTCTGGACCTTTTTAATATTTTGGGTTATATCGCCGTCTTCGGTCTCAACTTTGGCAGTAGTAAACGCATCAACGGCCTTCTTAATAATTTGATTCGCGTCTGCTTTAAGCGTTGTCGCAAAGGCTGTTCTAATCGGCTCATACATCTCACTTGCTGCGTTGTACGCAGTTGGTTTCGCGGCACCCTTACCATCCACATAATTTTTAAGGCACTTCTCCACGAGCTTATGTTTGCCCAAAATATTATCTTCTAACCAGCCCTGCACTATTTTCGTAAATGTATCACCCTCTTTGAACTCCCAAGCGTAACCCCTCACTCCAGCTTCAACTTTTTCGAGACCTGGTTTGTGCGTTGTCCCCTTAATTTCACCAAACGTATCTCTAAATTTCTCGAAAACAATTTGTACGATTTCTTTACCACGGTTTCCCGACGCCGAGGTGGCAATATCACTACCAAAATTCTCCCCAAGCTTCTTAATCTTCTCCTTAATCTCCTCCACCTTATTACTTATCTCACTCCTCACCCCGTGCAAATCCTTCTTCAGCTCGTCGTCCATCGCTTTCACGGCCTCGAGGGCTTCAGTAACTTTCTCTTTAACCTCAGTTGTTGCATACTTGAATTTACAATATATCTCTTCACCCTTCTTTTTCAACTTTTTTGCTTCATCTTCAACATTCATTTGGTTGAGAATGCCGGGAGCTTTATTCTCAATCTTTTTCACCTCCTTCATTACCTTTTCCACATCAATGTCCGCCTCCCTAATCCATTTCTGCAGCTGCATAACATACTCCCGGAGTTTTTTGCTAATCTCTTTAAGCTCCTCCAGTATCTTCTGGACCTTATCTCTCAAATCAGCGAGAAGTTTTTTAATGTCTTTCTCTATTCTATCATTCACGCAATTTTGAAGAGCACTAAGAGCTTCAGTAATTTTATCGGTCGTTGCTTTCAACACCTTCTCCTCTTGCTCCTTCACCCTCCCCAACCTACCACTCTCATACGCCACCGTCCTACGCACGCTCTCAAGCTTATCTTTTAATTTAGCATTTAGGTCGTTGATTCTGTCTTTATGTGGGCTACGTGAAGTGTTACTAATGTCTAAATTAGTGACAAATGTTGCAGCATTATTTTGGCATTGCTGAAGTTTGTCATTAATTTGGTCGACGGCCCGGCTGACATCCCTGTCACTGTAATTTGTCGGCGCACCTGAAACACCATTTTCTGGTAAAATATGACTTACCGTATTTTTAAAATTCTCGCCGACTTGTCCCTGCAAAGTATTAACAACACTTTTCACACTCTCATTCGACTTTACAACACTCTCATTATATGCACGTACACCATCGGCCACCGCGGCTATCGCCGTCCTGTATTTAGCAATACCATTATTATTTGTGTCTTTAAGTGAAGTAAGTGCGCTATCTAAAGAGCCTTTATGCTGGCCTAAATGGCCTTTAATGTTATCTAAAACACCATGAAGGAAAGACATCACCCCGTCGCAGAGCCTGTCGAGGTCCGAGTACACAATCCCTTCTCCGGTGTAATTACCATTATCGTAGCCGAGAAATTTTTCGAGGCCTGTACAAAGGTTATTTAATAATGTTGTTGAAGAATATTTTAGGCACATTTTCAGGGCGATTTGGGGGAAATTTGGGAAAAGCAGATTTTAGGTCAAGAGCAACGAGGAGGGAGATGGAGTGGATGGGTGAAGAGGAAGGTGAAGGGGCGAAAAAGAGCGATGAAGGGGAAAGATGGGTTAAAATAAACAGTTTAAAGGTGGAGAGGAAAATTAAAATAAGGATTTGGCGAGGGACGCCGACGGAAGTGAGAAAAGGGGTGCGGGAGAAGGAAGCACGAATAATCAAGATGGAATGAGGAAGTAGTTAGCGTAGTGAATTAGGTAGTTGGGTGGTTAGTGGTTAAAGTAGTTGAGTGGTTGAATTAGATGGTTGAAGTGAATAATGTGAAGTAAGATTTAAGTAGGTAAGTAAGTAGTGAATGGAAGTGAATTGAAGTGGGTAGGTAGTTAGTTACTGAGTAGAGTAAAATTGAATTAAGTGGAATGGTGGATTTAACGAGTGAGGTAGGTGGTGATTTAGTAAGAAGTAGGTGATTAGGTGATGGAGTGGTTGAAGTAGGTGAAGTGGTTGAGTGGAGTGGGTGGTTGAAGTAAGTGGGTGGTTGAGTGGGTGGTTGAGTGGGTGGGTGGTTGAGTGGGTGGTTGAGTGGGTGGGTGAGTGAGAGATTAGGTGGGTGGGTGAGTGAGTGATACACAGATCACACGTGAAGGCACGATTATGGTGAGAAGTACTTGACGTTGGCGAGTGCCTTGACGCGTGCGGCGGCGAGGAGGGACTGTGCGGCGATGCGGTGGCTTGCGGGTGATCTCAGGTGGGAGCGTATCCTCAGGGCGTCGAGGCGGACGACGGTGATGTGCAGCAGGTACAGGAGCGAGAGCGACCAGAGGGCTAATAAGAGGTAGGAGAAGGGTGTACGAATTGCCCAGATGAAATCATCGATTTCGTCAAATAATTCTTTAAAATATCCTTTGTGCAGCACTCTTGTTAACTGCTTTACGAAATTGTCACATGACATTTTTCTTTCAGATCCCATTAATTCTTTCGGCATTCCGAATGTGAATCCGTACTGGTAGAATACGGACATAGGCCCTTTGCACTGGACTATTGAATTGCAATGGCAACTGGGCTTAGGAGCTTTTGAAGGTTGCGATGTATCTTCCTCAGTGACGCCGTGTTTACCAAAACCGCATTTGCATTGACATCCATATGATTGACAGGATATGTTATTGAACGCCTTGAGCAACTGATCAAGCAAATCCCAGAATGCCCATGCCAACCGGCAAAGCCATGCCATGTACAAGTTTGCGTGTTTCGCGGGATATGTGTGACAGGCGTCGTGGCACAGAGCCTTGAGGTAAGGGGCGCAATTTGCAATCTCGGTAAGTGCGCATGAATCTTGGGCAACAAGACTGTACAGATCCTTGTGACCGGGCGTGATACCATTTTTAATGTGAGGTTGATGATGGCCATCTTTCGAATAGTATAACTTTCGCAGTGCGCCTGTGAGTTTAGAAGCATCGTACTTTCCGTGAAGCTCGGGCCACAGTGGGAAGGATTTATTAATCGTATCGTTAATTTTCGTTTGGTATGTATCTTCGTGACCATACAGTGAACCATACGATTTCTGGAATATGTTACAGTAATACGAGAACATCTCTGCCAAGCCTTTCGGTGGAGAGGGCGATATGCATTGTAATGCGTGCACTAATTCACACAGAACTGAACCGCCATTTTTACAAAGCGTAGCAAGCACATCAACAAGATCATCGCCACGGCCTACAATAGAGCCCGCAGTTGCCAAATCTGCAAAGCCCATCGGGGTGATACACTGCCCAACCAGTGAGCCCTTAGGGCACGTTGAGCAAGTGGGCTGGCAACCGACAGCTGTGAACTTATGTGGCATGAAACCCGGCAGGCCATCCATAAGATGGGCCTGAAGCGGGGACCTTGGTAAGCAATTTGGTTGGTCATTTGCTTCACTATTTGGTTGGCACTTAGCCTGACTCTTTGGTTGTGTGCTTGAGTTGTCGCTAGGTTCATTGCAGTCCCACTGGTAGGTGCCGACGCGATAACCATATTGACACTCACGCCACCCGTTGCCGTCAGACGCGGTGTGCTTACATTGTTGGTATAAGAATGAAAATGCACGCAACAAACGCATACACATATCTTTTAATATGTCAAGCAACGACGACGGATCACCGGGGTAGTAGAACTGTCCGTGGTTGTTCTCAAAGCAACAGGCATACGGGTACGCAGCGTGGCTTGCGCCACTGCCGTGGCCCTGGATGGAGACTAATATTTTAGGTGCCAATTTACATATGTGTTTAATGTTACCGTTAAGGTGTTGCAAGGATCTCTGCATAACTGTATCCTCCTTGTTGGGGAATGTGTTCGTCGCTTCGTCTTTCTGGTTAAGCAACTTATCACAATGCCCATCTATTTTATCATAAACTGCAGTGTGAGGAAGGCCGGAAAGCCATACACAAATATCACGAACGGAACACGGATACTTTTGGGATTTAGGGAGTTCGAGGTGGCAAGATTCGTAATACTCACCGACGTGAGTTGTGAGACATTTAAGTAGGTCGAAGAGATCAAATAATGATTTCGCCGTTTGGCCTTCGTGATGTTTTTCTTTTACGCACGCATTAAGGTGTACATTGTTAAGCGTGTTGATTAATGATTCAGCAAGCTTCTTATGGATATGCTCACCCCTCATACTATGCCTGCACTGCAGCTCCCCGTCCTGCTTGGACTTCTTGCAGGTGGGAACTTTGTAACCGCACTCCCTTAGGAAATCACCTAAGTAATTCCCCTTCCCGTCGTCTTCCCTGAGGTATATTGCTTTCTCCCTCCAACTGCCTTCAGCCGAGCACTTGTGCATCACCCTGGTAAGGTCCTCCAGCCACATCGGCAGGCAGCTCATGAAGACCTTGGCGCAGCGGTTGGCGTCGGCTGTTGGATCGAAATTGGGACCCTTGGTTTTGCTCCAAGCAATATCTTTCACACCGTCGTACTTGTTTATGTAAGCTTTATCTAACTCCCCTATCAGCGCATTCATCCCCTTGCGCAGCGCGTCTAGTAACACCGGGTGGTACGGGTTGGCGAAGCGCTCGGCGTCGAAGTCGCAGAGCAAAGCGGTGAGGGATTGGAGCAGTTGGCGGAACTTGGAGTCGTAGGTGAAAGCTCTGCTGGAGTTCTCTTGTAGGTGAGAGAGGAGTTTGTTCAGCGCGGCCTGGATGTCCGCGACTTTCTTGGAGTTGGCGTTGGGGGCGGGAGTTGAATGACCTTTTGGAGTCATAACCTGATGTTGTACATATCTTAAAATAGCGTCTAAAAACTGCTTCAGCTGCGATGCTGTTCCTGTGAATTCCACCGGACTTTGTATGTGTATGAGACTTCTGTCTTCTAGCCACGCCTTCATTTCCCTGAGTAGACCTTTCAGGCCTATCATGCTGTCTAGGGAAATGAGATCTTCAATTCTCGCCGACTGATCGGTGACCAATTTCTTCAGATCCTCCAGCTCCTTTTGCTTGGTCGCGGCGAATTTGTGGAGGGCGGTGTTTTTGAGGTTCCTGATCTTTTCGGTGACTTCTGATTGGACTTTTTCGTTGATGGCGGTGATGCAGGCGTTTACTGTATTTGGAATGGTTTCGTTGTGGAATTTTTCGGCTGCGGTTTTTATTTGTAGCAGAGTTTCAGGTATGCCAGAATAATCGCCTGAAGTGCCAATGATTTTGGTTCTGATTTCCTCATGTATTTCTCTAAGATGTTTTGTCAAGCCATACTTCCTAGCCTTTTTGTCGTCATTAAGCATAGTTTTGAGATCTTCCAACAATTTCTGCACGCCTCTTTTTGGATCTACTTGGTCACCGATTACTCCTGACGTACCATTATCCTTTTCCACCAAATCCTTGACGGCCGTGCAAAGCTTTTCCAGCGCACTGTCAACTTCTCCGCACAATAATGTGAAGGTATCGTCGTAGAAGTTACCATCCTTTTTACCGTTAGTGTTAGTCTCCACAATTTTCCCCAAACGGGCGGCACTGTTAACCTCCCTTCCGATATTTCCGATCGCCTCCGGGAGTTGGCCTTCGGATTCTCCTTTATTAGCGCCGGTTAGAGCACCAGTCTTAACTTTGTCTTGTTTAATTAGTTTACCGTAAAGCCCCATGTTTGTATCCTTAACCTTTGTTACCATGGCACCACCACCTTTTTTATCATCCTCCCCGACCTCCGCTTCAAGTATGCCGAGGATCCTGGCGTCGACACTGTCGGACAGCTGGAACATATGGTCGGGTTTTATGACGTCGGAACCTTTAAGAAGCGCTGTTGAAATATCACTCTCAAGCCCCGTGGCCACCGTCAAAGCAGCGTCCACGTTTCCAATCTGACAGTCATTAATAAGGTCGCCAATTTGGCCAGCAATGTGATTAGAGGTGGCCGCTACGGCGGGGAGAATTTGACGGAGAGCTTGCTCAAGATTACCTTTGGCAGCCGTAAATGTCCCAGGAGCTATATCCTGCAACGCTTGATGTATCGTCCCAGCAATGGTGTAATATTGGTTTTTGCCAGCCTTCAAAGCAACTTGTACGGATAACTCAGTAAGAAGGGCTTGGATGCTAGCCAGCGTTTCTTTCACCTTTCCGGGAACGACTTTAGGATGATGCGGAATTGTTTTGACAATTTCCGTATTAATATAACTGCTTATAGTTGATATAACTAGTTCCTGATGATTTGTGGTGTAATAATCAAGAAACGTCTTAGCAAGTTCACTTTTCGACAGAATATCCTCTATCCATCCCTCCAAAGTTTCAGTCGCAAAATGGTCATCAATGTAATTCTCTTCAACATACTGCTTAACTTTCTCTACAATGTTTTTTAAACCATTTCCGCCTTTTGTACCTGTAATCTTCTCCACCTTCCCTTTAATATCCCCCAGCAACTGCGTCTTAACATACTTCTGCATCGCCGCCTTAATATTATCCTTCGTCTCCTTCAATACCGTCCTGACCGCCCTGTCTAAGGTAACAACCTCCGAAAGCGCTGTCCCAACCCATGAAGTAATCTGCGCCTTAACTTGCTTCGCCACCTCACGAAGCTCATTGGCCATATCCCTCAAATTCTTCGCCGCCGTCTCAACGGTTGTCCATGTTTTTGATTGTTCCTTATTTTTCACATGCCCCAATATCTCGTCACACTTACTTAAGGCCTTGCTGACAACTAGCATGGCCTTGTCGATCCAATCATTCAATTTGTGATTCAAGTTGTTCAAGTTAATTTTAGCAGTATTAAGCGGCGTCCGAATTTGCGTTTCAAATTCATTTGTCAAAAGCCTAACACACCCATCTCCTTCCTCGTCAGCCTTCGCCATTAAATTGGCTTGAAGATTTGTCAACTGCTCACTCACGTTGCTACAAACAGCATTGAGATCATTTACGCCTAAAATAGCGTTAACGTAAAAAGTGTCAACAGCATTATGCATCAATTTTACGTGTGGATGTAAATTATTATTAAGCTGTTTGTCTACATTATTAAGTGCTTTAAGTGCCTCTTGAGTCTTGTCCGTCAGACCTGAAACAGATGAAAGCCAAGTAATTAACCTACCACCAGTGCCGGAGACATCTTCATAATTACTCTTCTTCATCTGTTGAATGTCTTTAATTAACTGCGGAATTTTCTTGAAATTCTTCTCATCGACGCCTGTCAAAAGGTCATTTATCGGTGTCGTAACATTCTTGATCAATGTGTCCACCTGCGCACCATGTTTTTTCAACCACTCACTTACCTGAGTCAACGCCTTCTCGAAGGCCTGACGGCCTTTACCTACACTAGTGTTAAGAGAGTCAATAACATTATTTATTTTAGGTGAATCAATGTATTCATTGTACGTTGTAACATTCTCATCATCCTGCACTCCACTTAAAACTCCATGAAGGAAAGACATCACCCCGTCGCACAGCCTGTCAAGGTCGGAGTACACGATGCCATCACCCGAGTAGCCTTTGGAAGTTTCTTGGTAACCAAGGAACTTCTCCAGCCCGGTGCACAAATTGTTTAAAATGCTTAAACATTCTCCATCTTGATTCTTTTCAACACTCTCATGAAATGCAATAAGCTTTTCAAGATTTTTAAGAGACTCCAACGAAGCCTCATGAGACTTCAATTTAGCCTGCTCAGTTGCAAGAGGATTGGAAAGATGGGAGGGAATGGAGATATCTGCATCTTTAAGATCCTCATTATACTGCTTTTTATGGCGCTGTTTTTCATCCTTTTTATACTGCTTAATTTCCTCTTCACACTTTCTTACGCTGGCAGTAAGCTTCTGAATGTATTCATCAATTTTCATTTTAGAAGCATTTAAAGCACTTTTAAGCTCTTTAATTTGCTCATTAAGAGACTCATTTTCCTTTTCAAGCTTCTTTTTTTCTGCCTCAATTTTCTCATTAAGCTCCGCAATCTCAGGACCACCGCCGGACGGCGCCTTTCCAGGCGCCTTACTTTTTTCAGCAATATCTTTTTGAAGGCTGTCAATTTTTGTTGCAATTTCATCATATTTCTTAAATGTATCTTGAAGATTTTTAAGGTCATCACGGAATTTCTTAATATTACAATCACACCCCTCACCTCCGCAAGATGCTTGTAAACGCTTTTCAAGCTGAGTTACATTACTGTATAAACCATTCAAAATTGCATTTTTAACTTCCTCACTCCCACCAATTAAACCCGAAAGCTGTCCAGCGAGCTGACCAAGAGAGATACGGCGGGCATCAATATCATCCAAGGCTCCATTTCTGACATCCTCTGTAAGGTAATGAACTTCATTGTAATGGTCATTGTGGTTGGATTAAAGGTGGATTAAAAGAGGGTTAAAAGAAGTAAAGGGGGATTATTTTAGGCACATTTTCAGGGCGATTTGAGGGAATTTGGGGAAAGGAGATTTTAGGTCAAGGAGGCAGTGAGGGAGGTGGGTGGACAGGGTGAGGGAAGTGAAGGGGCGAGAGAGGGCGATGAGGGAGGAAAATGGGTTGAGGGAGGGGATTTAGGGGGTGGAGGGGAAAGGTGGAAAATGAGGATTTGGGTGAAGGACGCCGACGGAGGAGGTGATGGAAGGGGTGAAGGACAGGGAGCGAAGCGACCAGTGAAGGAGGTGAGTGAGTATGTGAGTAGGTGAGTGAGTTCGTGAGTGGGTGGGTGGGTGAGTGGTTGGGTGATTAGGTGAGTGAGTGGGTGAGTGAGTGGGTGGGTGAGTGAGTGTGTGGTTGGGTGGTTGAGTGGTTGAGTGAGTGAGTGGGTGATTAGGTGAGTGGTTGAGTGAGTGAGTGGGTGGGTGGGTGAGTGGGTGAGTGTGTGGTTGAGTATGTGAGTGGGTGAGTGAGTGGGTGAGTGAGTGAGTATGTGAGTGTGTGAGTGGTTGAGTGGGTGGTTGAGTATGTGAGTGGGTAAGTGAGTGGGTGAAGGCACGATTACGGTGAGAAGTACTTGACGTTGGCGAGTGCCCTTACGCGTGCGGCGGCGAGGAGGGACTGCGCGGCGATGCGGTGGCTTGAGGGCGAGCGCAGGTGGGAGCGTATCCTCAGGACGTCGAGGCGTACGACGGCGATGTGCAGCAGGTACAGGAGCGAGAGCGACCAGAGGGACAACAACAAGTAGGAGAAGGGTGTGCGTATTGCCCAGATGAATTCGTCGATTTCATCGAATAATTCTTTGAAATATCCTTTCGTTAGAACCCTGGTCAACTGCTTTACGAAATTGTCACATGTCTTCTTGCTTTCAGATCCCATTAACTCTTTTGGCAATCCGAATGTGAATCCGTACTGGTAGAATACGGACATGGGTCCCTTACATTGGACTATTGAATTGCAATGGCAACTGGGCTTCGAAGCTTTTGGCGCTTGCGATGTATCCTCCTCAGTGACGCCGTGTTTACCAAAACCGCATTTGCTTAGACATCCATATGATTGACAGGATATGTCACTAAACGCCTTGAGTAACTGATCAAGCAAATCCCAGAATGTCCATGCCAACCGGCAAAGCCATGACAGATACAAAGCCTTGTGTTTCGCAGGGTATGTGTGACAGGCGTCGTGGCACAGAGCCTTGAGGTAAGGGGCGCAATTTGCAATCTCGGTAAGTGCGCATGAATCTTGGGCAACAAGACTGTACAGATCCTTGTGACCGGGCGTGATACCATTTTTAATGTGAGGTTGATGATGGCCATCTTTCGAATAGTATAACTTTCGCAGTGCGCCTGTGAGTTTAGAAGCATCGTACTTTCCGTGAAGCTCGGGCCACAGTGGGAAGGATTTATTAATCGTATCGTTAATTTTCGTTTGGTATGTATCTTCGTGACCATACAGTGAACCATACGATTTCTGGAATATGTTACAGTAATACGAGAACATCTCTGCCAAGCCTTTCGGTGGAGAGGGCGATATGCATTGTAATGCGTGCACTAATTCACACAGAACTGAACCGCCATTTTTACAAAGCGTAGCAAGCACATCAACAAGATCATCGCCACGGCCTACAATAGAGCCCGCAGTTGCCAAATCTGCAAAGCCCATCGGGGTGATACACTGCCCAACCAGTGAGCCCTTAGGGCACGTTGAGCAAGTGGGCTGGCAACCGACAGCTGTGAACTTATGTGGCATGAAACCCGGCAGGCCATCCATAAGATGGGCCTGAAGCGGGGACCTTGGTAAGCAATTTGGTTGGTCATTTGCTTCACTATTTGGTTGGCACTTAGCCTGACTCTTTGGTTGTGTGCTTGAGTTGTCGCTAGGTTCATTGCAGTCCCACTGGTAGGTGCCGACGCGATAACCATATTGACACTCACGCCACCCGTTGCCGTCAGACGCGGTGTGCTTACATTGTTGGTATAAGAATGAAAATGCACGCAACAAACGCATACACATATCTTTTAATATGTCAAGCAACGACGACGGATCACCGGGGTAGTAGAACTGTCCGTGGTTGTTCTCAAAGCAACAGGCATACGGGTACGCAGCGTGGCTTGCGCCACTGCCGTGGCCCTGGATGGAGACTAATATTTTAGGTGCCAATTTACATATGTGTTTAATGTTACCGTTAAGGTGTTGCAAGGATCTCTGCATAACTGTATCCTCCTTGTTGGGGAATGTGTTCGTCGCTTCGTCTTTCTGGTTAAGTATTTTTTGGCAGTGGCCATCAATTGTTTTATAAACTGCAGTGTGAGGAAGGCCGGAAAGCCACACACAAATATCACGAACGGAACACGGATACTTTTTGGACTTCGGGAGTCCGAGGTGGCATGATTGGTAATACTCACCGACGTGAGATGTGAGACAATCGAGAATGTGGAATATATTAAATTGTGAAGTTGATTTAATTTGTGTCTTTGCTTCATCCGGTTTACATTTTGGAAGATGCAAATCTTTTGCGGCACCGGGAATTGCCTTGTCTAGAAGCTTATTAAAAACATGTCCCCCCCTCATGTTTTCGTGACATCTCAGCTCCCCTTCATACGAACTCTCCGTTCTTGAAACCCTGTAGCCGCAGTCCTTGAAAAATGCGCCGAGGGGATTGTGTATATTAGGCTTGGAAACAAGGCAAATCTTTTGCTGCTTCCAGCTACGTTCGCATTCGTACTTCAACAGTGACAAAGCTTCATCCAGTATTCTCATAATGGTGACCAGGATTTTTGCGGCCTTACGGCCGTCGCCGTCCACAGTGTCCCAATCAGTGATCGCAGATGCAGTGGAATACCTATTAACGTACGCATTTCCTAACTGTCTTCCAAACGCGCTGAGTGAAGCTCTCAGGACGTCACATAATGTGGCATTGAAAATGCCGTCGAACTTGGAAGAAGTAAATGAGTTAAGTGAACTGGTGAGTGAATCATGTAATCTAAGAAATTCATGGTCAAAGTTGTGTTTGCGGCTTTCGTTTTTATTTAGGTGACGCAGCAATTTTCTTACATCGCCGTGAATGTCGTAGACTTTTTTGGAGTATTCATTTTCTTGGTCCTGTCCATATGGGCCCAGTTCGCCAGGTAATCCTGGAGTCTTCACCTGCTCACCAATATATTCAAGCATGGGATATAAATAGTTTCTGAAGTCGTCGGATAATTTGGCGAATTGCATACGCATTTTATCGCCGGTTGATGACATTGCATCTGATATTTTTAGAGACTCGAGATCCTTTCCGCTTACGCCTTTCAACTTGAGCAAGAACCCTTTTAGGCCGTTTGCTCTGTCGTTTTTTAGGATTTTCTCGATCTCAGCCTTTTGCGTTGCGACGATCTTCTTCAACTCATTAAGTTCTTTCTCTTTTGTTTTTGCAAATTTCTGTAGGGCTTCATTTTTAATTTGCGTCTTTGACCTTTTGGTTTCGGTGGATACGCTTGATTTTATGTCCTCTTGGCAGTTGGCGGTGGTTGGGTTTAGAACATTGTCTCTTAGGGTGGCAACTTGTTCACCTAATACTCTCTTAATCCCGCTGTCAAGCCCATCGACTTTTCTCTCAATAGCTTCATCAAGACGTTTGAGGTTCTCTTCGGGCTGCATACTATGAACAAACTTATTTTTAACAATCTTCTGCAACTTTTCGATCTCCCCATTAACCGCCGCAATAATTTGCGTAAGCTTATTCCTAATGTCGTCAGCGGGCTCAATGACCTTACACTTCAGACTGTCCTGAATCTTAGTTATCATTTGGACACTAACAACCTTATCTCGAAGGTTTTCACAGAGTTTCTTAATAGCGCTTATTGCTGTCGCCAATCTCCCAATCTGGCCTAGTGTGCTGAATTCCGTCAGTTCCTTACCCGCCTCTCCAGCAGCCGTCGACACAGCGGTGAGGATGCATTGTACCGAACGCTTCAGATATAGCTCACCGTGAGGATTCGCCATGACATTCTTCTTTCGCAAACCCTGTTCGATTTTCGGAACAAGCTGATCGACAGCTGACTGAAGCTTCCCAGCTACTTGACCAGCGAATATTTTAAGATAATCTTGGACAGCTTGCAGATCTTCATCAATTTTTCCTTTGGGCGTCAGAGTGGATTGGGTAGACTTAGCGAGCATCTTAAGGTCTTCCGTAATATTAGTGCTCAACGTGTCTGCAACTTTTCTTACATTTTCAGCAGTCATGGTTTGCGGAACAACTCTATTTCTACCATTCACAGTGGTAACGTATGAGGTCACATAGGAACTTACAGGCTTTGCTGCAAGAACCTTGGTAACCATCTCACTAATTTTCCTTTCGAAAACGCCCTTGAAATCAGTAGCATACGTCCTCACTGCAGCAACAATCTGATCAAGGGAACCATCTTTTAAAGCAACGCCATCCCGTTTAGCAATTCCGTCAGTGAGTTTCATAAGCTCTGTCGCAATATCTCTCCACAATTTAGTAAGGTCATAAGTTTTAATTTCCGTAGCATCCTCATTAATTTTCTGCGCCTTTTTTTGGCAACACGGCACAGTCTCATCTCCATTTTTCGATCCATTTTCCTTGAACCTCTCATTTATACTCCCAACCGCCGTCTCAATCTTTCCCCTGATAGTCTCCAACTTCTTGACAGTCTCCTGTAATGTCTTAACTTTCTCATCCAGAATTTTCTTAACTTGCCTATCAAGTTCATTTATACCCGCAGTCACAGTGGTTTTAAGCTGACCGACAGAACTTGTAACAACTGCATTCACATTTGTTTCAAGCGCCTCAAGGTCGCCATCGACTTTCGTGCAAACCGCGATGAGATCCTGGTGATCCATCCTGGAGTTTGCTACAAAAGTGTCAACAGCATTATGCAGCAAATTAACGTGAGGATGCAACTTATTAGAAAGCTGTTTGTCTACGCTATCAAGTGCTTTAAGTGACTCTTCAGTCTTCTCCGTCAGACCTGAAACAGATGAAAGCCATTTATGTAACTTACCACCAGTGCCGGAGACTTCATCATACGGCTCGCCTTGCATCCCTTGAATGTCAGCAATCAACGACGGAATTTTCTTGAAATTATTTTCAGGATCTCCATTCAAAAGCTTATTTAAAGGGTCCGTAACATTCTTGATTTTTTGGTCCACCTGCGCACCATGTTTTTTCAACCACTCACTTACCTGAGCCACGGCCTCCGGGAAGGCCTGACGGCCTTTACCTACACTATCATTTAATTTGTCAATAACATTGTTAAGTGTATCATTATCATATTTTGTAACGTTATCGTCATCTTTCACAGCGTCAAAAACACCATGAAGGAAAGACATCACCCCGTCGCACAGCCTGTCAAGGTCCGAGTACACGATGCCGGAGCCGTCGTAGCCTTTGGAAGTTTCTTGGTAACCAAGGAACTTCTCCAAGCCAGAGCACAGGTTATTTAAAAGGTTTTTACAGTTATCACTTTGTGGATTTTTAAGAGATTTAAAAGACTCATTAAGGCTCTTCAGCTTCTCAAGAGCATCCAACTTGGACTGACAAGAGGATAAAAGGCGAGACTCTTCAGAGGAGAGGGAATGATTTTGGGAATTTTCAGTAGGTTTAAGACGCTTTTTAAGGTCTTCATAATGCCTAATTTGCTGAGTAAGCTCAGCATCATTTATAAGCCCAGCAGACACGGGAGCGGGAGGATGCGCAGTCGAAGACTGAGACTTTCTAAGGCTTTTGAAGTCATCATCACTGTCAATAATGATGTTAATACCATCATTAATTGCTTTAGTAACAGCCTTCTCAGGGCCAACAAATTGGCCAAGCTTCCCACTGAGGTCAGCAAGGGACAGCAACCTGGAGTGGACGTCCTTCAGTTGGGCAGTCCTGTCAGACTCAGAAAGGGAATGATACTTGGCAATATGATCTTTTAATTGGGATTTAAGGTCGGCAATTTTAGATTCATTTTGTGAGTTATCAGAATTTTTAAGCAAGTCAATTTGCTCGTTAAGAGACTGACAGTGGGACGTACCAGAGTTATTAAAAGTGTAATGTCCGAGGCAAGAAAGGTGAGAAAAGCAAGGTAGAGAAAAGGGTAAAAAGGATATTAGAGGAGGTGAAAGGGCACATTTTCAGGGCGATTTGGGGGAATTTGGGGAAAGGCCATTTTAGGCAAAGGAGGCAGCGAGGGAGGGAGGGAGGGAGGGAGGTGGACAGGGCGAGGGAGGTGAAGGGGCGAAAGAGGGCGATGAAGGGAGAAGATGGGTTGAAAGGAGGTGATGGAAGGGGGTGAGGGAGAGGGAGCGAAGCGACCAGTGAAGGAGGGAGGTGGTTGAGTGAGTGGTTGAGTGGGTGGTTGAGTGGTTGAGTGAGTGGTTGAGTGGGTGGTTGAGTGGGTGAGTGAGTGGTTGAGTGGGTGGTTGAGTGAGTGGTTGGGTGAGTGGGTGGTTGAGTGAGTGGGTGAGTGGGTGAGTAGGTGGGTGGGTGGTTGAGTGGTTGGGTGGGTGAGTGAGTGAGTGATTAGGTGAGTGAGTGGGTGAGTATGTGAGTGGGTGGTTGAGTGGGTGGGTGGGTGGTTGAGTGGGTGGTTGAGTGGGTGGTTGAGTGGGTGAGTGGGTGAGTGATACACAGATCACACGTGAAGGCACGATTATGGCGAGAAGTACTTGACGCTGGCGAGTGCCTTGACACGTGCGGCGGCGAGGAGGGACTGGGCGGCGATGCGGTGGCTTGAGGGCGAGCGCAGGTGGGAGCGTATCCTCAGGACGTCCAGGCGGACGACGGTGATGTGCAGCAGGTACAGGAGCGACAGCGACCAGAGGGCTAACAATGTCCAGATGAAGGGTTCGCGGATCTTGAATAAGAATTCTGGAATGTGCTTGTAAACAATCATATACAGGGATTTGCCTTCTTTTACGATATTTTCTAACGCTCTGCAGAAATCTGCGCACGTTCTTTTGGTGCCTATAGTGTTCAGCGCTGCTGCATCTCCAAATACAAACCCATTGCTGTATAAGGTGGGAAGCGTCGTCTTGCAGCTAACAATTGAACTACACGCGGCATCGTGAATTATGCCGTTTGGTTTGCTTTTTGACTGTTTCTTTACACAGCTATTTGCGCAGCTCTTTGCGTAGCATTTTGTTTCTTTCTTGCCGCACTTGCTGTTGCATGTTTCATACAACTGCTTCAGCAGATCGTAGAACGATTCTGTGAGATACACAACCGTGGACAAATGCTTACCAGCATGTTTATCGGCAAACGTACCGCAGGTGTCACGACACAGTGGCTTGACATATGGACCGCAGGGGTGAGCAGGATCGTTTGTTCTCTTATACGTGCACTTTAGCAGAGAGTAGAGATCACCGATGAGATGCGACGTGTCTTTACTGAAGCCGTGGCTGCTGCTACTGAACATGGAAGTCAACTCCAGATCAGTGTCTGGATTTCCGAAATTTGCATTTTGGACAGCATCTCTATAAGCTGCTTCCCTGTGTTGGTTACGTTGCACATGGTTGCTGCCCTTGCCATCCCAGTCAGCAAGCAAGCTGTTGTAGAAGCCAAACATGTCACCGAGCGTTTTAGGTGCGCTTGGTAGGACACATCTCAGTTGACTGAGAAGCGAAGTGAGCGATGATTTGTTACCACAGAATTCATGAAGCATATCTCTTAGATAATGACCATTTTGTTTATGCGACGCTACAGTAGTGATATCAGCAAAGCCCATCGGCGTTTTGCACGGCACATTGAAATGGTTTTTGACTGCGCAGTTGAGTTTGCCGGACGTGCCGTCTAGGCTGTGTGGTAGGAAGCCCTGTAAACCGTCCTCTAAGAAAGACTGCAACGGTGATTTTAGTCCACAGTTGGGACGCTGATCACCGGTTTGGTTACATGGTTGGTCACCCAGTTGGTCAGCTGTTTGGTTGGCACGTTGGTTACCACATTGGTTATGTGTCTGGTCGCCAGTTTGGTTGGCACACTGTAAGTTGTTACACTTCCAACTGGAGCCACCAACACCGTTGCCGTACCAACACTCTTTCCACCCACTCAGTGTAGTATCGTGCGTACACATTTGGTACAGGAAGTAACACTGTTCGTAAACACGTTGGAGGATTTCATACAACATACATATTAATGTGTTCATGTTGGAAGGGTATACGAAGCCCTGCGCGTTAATGTTAAATTCACACGCATATACTCCACCCGAGTGGCCGTTGCCGAGGATTGCAACCAGCGTCTCATAGGAATAATGGCACACTTCTGCGAGCGTACCTGAGAGGCCCATAGCCGTGATCCTCTTTGGGTAAGCCTCTAAAGCGTCGTCATCTTGCTGTAGCAGAATGGGATCGTCCGCCTGGACTTCGGAGGCCTTGTCCTTCGGCTTCTCAAAGAGGCCAGCGAAACCATTGAGTGCTAATTCGTGATGTACACGATTATGAGTGAGACCGCTGAGCCATGTAAGCATGTCGTAGATCGACGACGGATGCTTCTTGGAGGGTGGAATGGGCAGCTGACAGACATCGTAGTAAGTGTTGAGGTAATGGAACAATTGGGACACGGGGCCAGTGGGATCTCTAAATGTATCTAAATACGCAGTTAGTGTTTTTTTGGTGAGTTGAGATTTTTCGAATTCCTTATGAGATGCGAATGCAGTGGTCAAAAAGGCTCCCACCTCTCTACCGCTCTTGTCCTTATTCAGTTGTACAACATCGTAGCCTTGACGCTCGAGGAATTTTCTCAACTCTTCATAATCCTTTTTGCCTTCGATGGTCTGCGTTGACCACTTGGCGTAGCAGTGATAGAACAGGTAATAAAGTTGGTGGTAAAAGGTGTCCAGAATGGTGAGACAGACTTTGGCGCAGTTTCTTCCCTCGTCGGTCAATTCTTTTCCAGGTGCTTTAGTCTGTGGATCTACCTTATCGCTTAGTAATTGATCAAATGTAACACCGTCATACGTGTTGACGTAAGCCTTATTAAGCTCGGTGCCCAGCCTGTTAAGACCGGCATTAAGCGCGTCCAGCAGGGGACTGCAAGGACCGGCGAATTGTTTAGGCGCAAAGTTATGTAATACATTATTGAAATTATCTATGTTCGTATTGAAAGTGCGGTCGAAGTGTTCTGACCTGATAAGGTCAGTAAGCAGACGGTGCAATGCTTGACGTGAAGGCTCGAGGAATACACTAACGTTTTTCTTGAAATCTGCTTGATCACACAATGCAACCACAAAATCATTGAAGCGAAGACGTATGATATCCGCGAAATCTTTCAATGTTTTTCGCTGTTCAGGGGGAACGATTCGCGTTGGGAAAAAGTCTCTTATTTGCAGAAGGAAATACCTTCCAAGCTTATCCATGAAGCCTTTGTGTCCCTGTTCCAAATCGTCGCGGAGCTCTTGTGGCAAAGGTTGTAGTTCTTCAGTGACTTTGACGGCGAAGCGTTCCAGCGACGCTTTTATTGTGTCGACGTACTGTTTTCGGGCGTGGACGATGAGATCATCCTTCGCGTTTTGGACGTCCCTCTCGATTTCCTCTTTCAACAGTTTTGTGAAATGTTTTTCGGCGTCGGAGCAGAATGTGATGAACGCTTCGGCATCCTTAATTGGCTTACTTACCAGATCCATGTGGAGGACACCGAATTGTTTTTGAATCTTCTTAACGCTCTTCTCACCGTTCCTTTTCTTCTCTTCGTACTCCTCAAAATATCTCTTCTTCAAATCGTTGAGCCGTCCCCTGAGAGTGTCATCCACGTCGCCCTTGTCGTCTCCCGCATCTTTTTTAATAGCCTCGCAGAGCCTTTTGATATACTCCTTAACATTTCGCAAATCTGCTAAAGCGCCATCTTTGAGTGTCTCGATTCCTCCCAGAGCGCCGGTTACGTCATCTTGGATTTGTGTGATGGCGCCCTTAAGGGCGGTTTTTTTGGTGTTGTCGTCGCCTGCTATGATCTTTTTGAAGGAATTCGTAAGATGATCAACCTTTACATAAGATTGGCCTCTACTCTCCGCCTCCCTATCTATGGGTAACTGCTTATCAAGTACATTGTTAATCTTAGTGTTAACGTCATATACGCTGCCTGGAACGGGATCGGTGCCTCTGCCGAGCGCCCCGTCAAGTTTCTGAGAAAGCCCCTCTGCCGCAGCGAACGCTTTGTTTATGTACTCAAGTTTGCAAGTTTTCATAAGTTTACCGATTTGCTCACCTGCCTGATTGGCTGTAGAGAAAATGGCGGGGATAATGTAACGGAGGGCTTCAGTAAGGTTTTTTTCATATGAGGAGACACCAGAGATCTTAATTTCTCCCTCAATCGCTGCAACTATCGTTTCAGATTTACTAATACCAATACTACCAGCGAACGTAGAGAGAAACGTTTTTATGCTTTCCAATGAAGTTTGTATGTTATCTGCGGCGAAAGAAGGCTGTTCACTAAAGCCATTCAGCAGTTGTTTCGCGATTTGGTTGCTTATAGCCGATTTGATCTTCGATTCAACATTTCCACCATTTTTATACGCTGGATTAAAATTGGTCCGATCTCCTCTAATATACGACGTAATATTGAAATTAACAGGCTTTTTATCCATGATTTGCGTTACCCAATCGCCAACCGTCTTCTCAAAATTCTCCTTATACCCATTTACATATTCTCTAACTCCATTAATAATACCAAAGAGGCCTGCCGTTGGAGCTTTTCCGTCGCCTTCAATACTGCCAACCTCTTTTTTAACCGCCGTGACGTACTCCCTAAGGTATTCCCTAATTTGCTGACCAAGCTGCTCTCTCACACCATGCAAATCCCACTTAAGAAAATCTTCCAGCGCTTCCACAGCCGCAAGCGCTTTTGCCACTTCCGCGATAACCTTCTCCGTCGCCGCTTGCCCAGCATTATAAAACCCCTCGACATCCCTTTCAAGCTGATCAGCTCTCGAAGTTATCTGCATGGGATACGTTGTGCTGGTATTATTAATATGCCCCAAGAGTCTGTTAACTTCTCCGTGCGCCTCGTCGACAACTTTCTCAGCCTTGATAATCCATTCCTGCAAAGCGTTATAGTACTCCCTGAACCTTTTGTCAATTCCCCTGAGCTCATCAAGAATCTTCTGCACCTTCTCCCTCAACTTGCTAATCAGCTCCTTAATCTGAGCGTCAATTTTACAATCGACGCTAATTTTCATGGATTTTAAAGTCGCCGTGATCTTTTCCTCCGTATCACTAAACTCCGCAGCTTTTGCCGCCTTAACCTCCCCGAGCCGCTTAGCTTCGTACGCTACAGTGCTACGCACATGGCTAAGTGTGACACGCAAATTATCATTCAAGTCGTTAATTGAATTTTTATGTGCGCTATGTTCAGTCTCTAAGTGACTGCAAAATGCCGCAGCATTTTGCTTGCAATCTTCTAATTTCTTATTCACTAATGTCTCTGCCTCCCGGATCTCCTTGGAGGTATAAGGCTCGACTGGTGGCGGAGGAAATATGTTTTTCGGCGCTTCCTTTTTTGGCAGTATATTCTTAATTGTACTCAAGAATTCACTACCAATTTGTTTTTGCAACTTATTAATTACACTTTTCACAGCGTCATTCGAACGCTCAACACTCACATTATATGCACGTACACCACCGGCCACCTCGGCTACCGCCGCCTTGTATTTAGTAATACCATTATTATTTGTGCTTTTAAGTGACTTAAGTGCGGTATCTAGAGTGCCTTTATGCTGGCCTAATTTGTCTTTAATGTTACCTAAAACTCCATGAAGGAAAGCCATCACCCCGTCACACAGCCTATCAAGGTCCGAGTACACGATGCCCTCGCCGGTGTAATTACCATTACTGTAGCCGAGAAATTTTTCGAGGCCTGTGCAGAGGTTATTTAATAATGTTGTAGAAGGATTATTTTAGGCACGTTTTTAGGGCGATTTGGGGGAATTTGGGGAAAGGCGATTTTAGGTCAAGGAGGCAGTGAGGGAGCGAGGGAGGTGGGTGGACAAGGCGAGGGAGGTGGAGGGGCGAAAGAGGGCGATGAGGGAGGAAGATGGGTGGAGGTGAGGCGATTTTAGGGGTGGAGGGAAATGGTGGAAAATGAGGATTTGGGCGAAGGACGCCGACGGAGGAGGTGATGGAAGGAGGGAGGAGGGAGCGAAGCGACCAGTGAAGGAGGGAGGTGGGTGGTTGAGTGAGTGGGTGAGTGGTTGAGTGGTTGAGTGGGTGAGTGGTTGAGTGGGTGGTTGAGTGAGTGGGTGAGTGAGTGGGTGAGTGGGTGTGTGAGTGTGTGAGTGAGTGGGTGATTAGGTGAGTGAGTGAGTGAGTGGGTGAGTGGGTGGGTGAGTGGGTGAGTGGTTGAGTGGTTAGGTGAGTGGGTGATACACAGATCACACGTGAAGGCACGATTATGGTGAGAAGTACTTGACGTTGGCGAGTGCCTTGACGCGTGCGGCGGCGAGTAGCGACTGCGCGGCGATGCGGTGGCTTGCGGGTGATCTCAGGTGGGAGCGTATCCTCAGGACGTCGAGGCGCACGACGGCGATGTGCAGCAGGTACAGGAGCGACAGCGACCAGAGGGCTAACAACGTACTCATAAAAGGCCATCTGATCTCTTTTAGGAAATTGTCACATTCTCTAAACAGGTCCTTGAAATATTGTGAGTGAAGAACATCTTTGAGTTGCTGACAGAAATTGTAACATGTTGTGGGATAACGTCCCTCATTTAGTTTGGACGCTCTCGCAAACGTAAACCCGTATTTATATAACGTGGGTGACACCCCTCTGCATCTAACAATGGATTTACAGTGACATGAATACTTATCATTGCCGTGTTTCCCTTTTTTACATCTGTCGCTATTCATACATTGACTGCAACCCCAGTCCTGGCATAGTATATCGCAGAAGGCAGTGTATAATTCGTGAAGATAATTCCAAAAGTTCCATGGGAGATACACGACCCATGTTAAGTATGTGTCAGAATTCTTGTCGACGAGGTGTCCATACAGATCGCAACATACCGTTGATAGGTAGGGGACGCAGTGGTTTGTCCCGTTACAAGACGTGGTCAATGACAGGGTCGACAAATCTACTTTATTACCATTAGAATGCGTCTTACTATGTTCGCCCAGTGTATTACCATAGGCCTTACGAAGCGCATTAGTGAGACTGTTGGGGTTCTTATATAACTCAATGGATCTATTGGTAATTGATGCTCGGGTTTTATCTAAAACATGATGATGGCCATTGGTATCCCAACCGTCAACAAAAGACAAGGTAAAGGCAAAGTGCTCAGGCAGGGTAGCCGGAGGTTTTGGTACAAGTGAAAACAGGCATGTGAGATCATCGACGTTGAAGAACTCAGAAATCATATCACGAAGATCTCTCCCCGTCCTCGTACTGCTGGAGAAACCCCGGAAGCCAAGAGGTGTCAAGCAGGGCATTCCGGGTTTACCAGTAGGACAGGTTAAACATACAGACTTGCAGCCAACGGAAGTTAGTTGATGGGGAAGACAACCGACAAGGCAGTCGGATAGGTAGGACTGAAGCGGGGACGTTGGTTGACAGTCTACTTTAGTGTTTGGTTGGCACTCAGGTTGGCTGCTTGGTTGACCATTTGGTCGGCACGTTGATTCATCACTAGGATGCTCGGTACACTGCGATTTGGCCATAGGGATACCTTTACCATACTTACAATCACACCAACCGTAATGTTCAGCTTTCACCCTACATTGGTTGTATAAATATCTGAGAGTTGGTAAGAGTCGACGAAGCATGTCAAGGAGGGTATGTAAACAATCTTCGCCGCGGGCGGGATATTTGAATTTAAAAGAGTTGTTGCAATAATCGGACGCATACACGGTATTTGCGTCGCCGGTGCCGGCTATTGTGGTCAATACGTCGTGGGATTTAGAACATATGTGATTAAGCACGGTGTCAATGTTTTTATATGTGAACTTATTTGGGTATGCATCTATGTAGTAGGAATTCAGATCATCTAATTCTACTTCAAATTCGTCGTTGCCCTGTATGGTTTTGGGCTTAGGTTTCTGCAGGATGCCAGTGAAACCGTCACGTAATAACGCTTCATACACGTTGTTGTACGGCAGGCCTGAAAACCATATAAGTATGTCATGTATACTGCACGGTATCTTAGTGGACGTAAATGTCGCTAGGTGGCAAACTTCATTGTATTTATCTATGTGAGTGGAAATTCCGTCTAGAATGTCTAGCCAATTATAGTTACCGGTGGGAGACAGTGTTAGTGCCGCAAGCAATCCTCCAATGGTGTTCCCAGTACAGTTTTCTTTATTCCTAAGCTCCCCTTCATGGGAATCAGGCAACTTGGAAACATTGTAACCGCAAGCGTGCAAAAACGCACCAAGTGGGTTAACTGTCTTATATCTATCTTCGATAGAAATATTAATTTGCTTCTTACCCCAACTCCCTCCATCCGTGCATTTCCCTTTCAGACCCATTAGACCTTCCAATAGCATTGGTGTTAAAGTGCAGAAGATTTTTGCACAATGCTTATCTTCAATAGTATCGTTCCACGTTCGACCATCATACCTATTAACATACCCCTTCTCCAGCTGCTCGACGAAGCGCTCCAGGCTCTTGGGGAAGGCGTCGAGCACGGGATACGCGGGGTTGCCGAAGTTAGTGGAGTGGAGGGATTCGACGGACGTCTTGAGTTGCGCGAGCATTCCGGGGACCTGGTGGTCGAAGTGTTTTTTCTCGGACAGGTGGGAGAGGAGGGTGGTCAGAGCGGTGTGGATGGACTGGAGTTGGGGGGAGTATGGAGAGGAGGGGAGATGTTTGGGGAGGTCGAAAAGGACGTACATAAAAATATTATCTAAATATTCCTGTAGTTTTTGTGACAGGGATTCAACATTTTGTTGATCTTTGAGGTCAGTGAGTTTTCTAGCAGAAGCATAGCTATCGTTTAGCTTCTTTAAGAGGCCTTTTAGACCCGTGAGTTTGTCGTTTTTAAGAATTGTTTCTATTATATTTTTGTGTTTCTCAACCAGCGCGTTTAGGGCTTTTAGGTCGGCCTTGTGGGAGTTCGCAAATAATATTTTTACTTCGATGGTTACCTTTTTGAATGCTTGTTCGGTGGTTTCTAGGAGATTTTTCCTCAGTTTATCGACTTCATTTAAGGATGCTTCTCTAGCGCTCAGTAATGCGGTTTGTACGTTCTTTATGGCCTGTGTAAGAGTTTCGTTGGCTCTGGCAATGGTTAATTCGAGTGCATAAAATTTTTCGTCGAGATCATTTTTCAATTGCTGCATTTTGGCTCCCTTTTTCTTCTCCGCATTAATTGTGTCATCTTTGGTATCCTCACCATTCTTCATTTGTTCAAGCTTCTGAAAAACTGCTTGAAGGTTTCCAACAGCAATGTGAAGCGTGCCGCTTGAATTCTTTATGATGTTATCCAGCACTGTGGTTTTGCGTTGACAACTTTCAAGGCGTCGTCAATTTTTTTCCCGAAGTCTTCGGTTGATAGTGCTTTAGCTTCTTTGTCATCATTCTTGTCAAAATACTTGCCTATTAATTCGACTTTTGTTTTTGTTTCATCAACGTTCTTGCCGAGCTTGGCATGAGCGTCGCTGGTGAATGAATGGACCACCCTCCAACTAACTGGGCGGTTGCAACGAGAGAGCTTAGAATGAGTTTAACGGTTTCAGTAAGATTTGGATCGGAAGTAGCACGCGAAGTGTTTATGAATATTCCACCATTCCGTAGCTGCGACTCAATTCCGGAGACTACACCATAAGCTGGGATAGCTGTATCAGTGATCTCTGGCTCAAGACTCTCCGCAAATGCACTGCAAACCGACTGAACAGCATTGACATGTCTAGTTATCTCTGTTTCGTCCAGATTAAATTGAATTCTTGTCTTCAACATTAACCGCATCTTCAATTTGTGTCTTAAGATATTGCTTAATTACAGTCGTAATCCTCCCTATATTGTATTCATTCATTTGAAAGTTGACACGACCACTGTTACCACCGCTCACATACGCATTAAGCTTCTGTATGATTATTTTGCGTTCCAATGTTTTTTTAATCCAGTCCTGCACGGTAAGGCCAAACGTAGTCTTGTCTTCAAAACCCTTAGCGTACGTCTTCACTCCGTCTACAATCCCTGAAGGCCGTCGCGTAAATATGTATTCCCTTAACATCCCTGACAAGGTTCTGAATCTGCATTTGGAGTTGTGTCCAATTGTACTCTATACTATCTGCCGTACCGTTGGTGCCAACCTGAACCTTCTCCTTCAACGTCTCGAACGCTGTCCGAGCCTGATCTACCAAGACTTCAAGCTCTGCTTTTTTTTTGAATAGAGCATCTTGAACCTTGTTTACCTCTTTTTTCAATTCGTCAAAATGCCATGTAACTAATGATTTATATGTTCCATCCACTTGGTCAATCAGCTGCCGAGCCTCTTTGACGGAGTCATTTATTTTTTAAAATGTTCAGCATTATTCCTTTTCAAAATCAAAATGCTATTTTCGACTCTATTGAACTGCACGATCATATTCTGTTGAAGCGTTATGGATTGCTTTGCAATCTCCGCATCCAACTTCGCCTTCGTCTTTAGCAACTCCCCGTCCACCCTCTTCGCCTGGTCCATCAGGTTTGGGTCCAAGCTAACACTTCTCATATGCTCCACCACACTTTTCACAGGCACGAATTCACGCAACACACTACTTTTCAATGTAGTATCTAAAACATTAATTTTCTCAGTCTGAATTTTGTTCACCTCAGTTTCGAGGCTTTGGACAGTGGTCCGCCAAGCAGTCAGCTGCTTTTCAAGCGGCTCATTAATCTTCTCATTTACTTGTGTGACATATTGATTACTTAAATTAGTACTAAGTTCGCTAAGTGACGTGTTAACTGCATTTGTTTTCTCATTTAAGTGTTTATCATACTCACTAAGGATATCACTCACATGGTCTATGCAAACACGAAAACCATAATCACCAAGATGCATATGTTCTAAAATTTTATTAAGGTCATTTTGTGATATAAAGCTATATGTGAAAACGCTCTCATCATCCTTCACTCCACTGAGAACACCATGAAGGAAAGACATCACCCCGTCGCACAGCCTGTCAAGATCGGAGTACACGATGCCAGTGCCATCGTAGCCTTTGGAAGTTTCTTGGTATCCAAGGAACTTCTCCAAGCCAGAGCACAAATTTGTTAAAAGGTTTTTACAATTGTTATCATTTTTACTAAGAGAATTCAAAGACTCATTAAGGCTCTTCAGCCTCTGAAGAGCATCCAACTTGGACTGATGAGAGGATAAAAGGCGAGACTCTTCAGAGGAAAGGGGAGGATTTTTGTCAGTTTTCTTAGATTCAAGGGATGTTTTAAGGTTATTATAATGCTCAATTTTCTCATCAAGCTCACCATCATTTATAAGCCCAGCAGACACGGCAGCGGGAGACTGCCCAGTCGAAGACGAAGGATTTTTAAGGCTTTTGAATTCAGGATCACTGTCAATAATAGCTGTAATAGCATTATTAATGGCCTCTGTAACAGCGTCACTTTTGCCAATAAATTGGCCAAGCTTCCCACTGAGCTCAGCAAGAGACACCATCCTGGAGTGGATGTCCTTCAACGCACTGTCCTTTTTGGACGCATTGCTGTGCACTTCACTCTTGTGATCGCTTAAGTCAGATTGAAGCTTATTAAGCATATTTTCATTAGGGTTGTCAGATTTTTTAAGGTTGTTAATTTGGCTGGTCAAGTGATCACAGTAGGAGACAAGGCTAGTGGAGGCCGACGAAGGAGGTGAAGAAGAACAAAAGAGGTGAGAGAAAGAAAATGGAAAAGTTAAAGGCCATTAGAAGAGTGAAATGGGACACTTTGGAGAATTTTAAATTTTTTGAAAGCAATTTTAGTGAAGGCAGTAGTAGGTAAGGAGGAAGGAGTGGACAAAGTAAAGTGAAGAAAACAAAAGGCAATGAAAGAAAATCGATGAAATAAAACAATTATAAGTGGAAAGGAAGAAAATTTAGGTGAGAGGACAGAAGAAAGTAATGGAAAATGAAAAGAACAAAACAACAGTAAAATGAGTAATGGAAGAAGTAAGTAAATTAAAGTAAATGAATTAAGTAAAGTAAGTAAATGGTAAAAAATTAAGTAAGTAAATAAATTAAGTAAGTGAATTCGTGAAATGAATAAGTAAGTAAATTAGTTAAATAAATGAAATGAATTAGAAGTAAATAAAATGAAGTAAATGAAAAAGTAAGTAAGTAAGTAATTAAATAGGTAAGTAATTAATTAAGTAAGTAATTAATTAAGTAAGTAAGTAGTGATGAATTAGAGTAAATAAGTGGGTGAAGTAGAGTAATTGAGTGGGTGATGTGAGTAGTTGAATAGTGGTTGAGTGGGTAGGTAGTAAGTGAGTTAAGTAAGTATATGAGTAGTAGTTGAGTAAGTGGAGGTAGAGTGGGTTGGATGGGTTGAGTGGTTGGGTGAGTGAGTGGGTGGTTGAGTGGTTGAGTGGGTGAGTGGGTGATACACAGATCACACGTGAAGGCACGATTATGGTGAGAAGTACTTGACGTTGGCGAGTGCCTTGACGCGTGCGGCGGCGAGGAGGGACTGCGCGGCGATGCGGTGGCTTGAGGGTGATCTCAGGTGGGAGCGTATCCTCAGGACGTCGAGGCGGACGACGGCGATGTGCAGCAGGTACAGGAGCGACAGCGACCAGAGGGCAACGAGGGTGTAGAAGAATTTGTATCGTATCTCCCATAAGAATGCTGGAATTTTGTTAATGACCAAGTCGGCAAGCACCGATCGTCCGTGACACACTTTTCCCAATGCCTGGCAGAAATCTTGGCATGATCGTTTGTTGTCAACACCATTATCGCCACTTAGGTTCCATGGGCTTCCGAAGGTGAAACCGTATTTGTACAGTGTTGGATGTGTAAGTTGACATTTGACAATGGAATGGCAGTCTGTACTGTGCCTTTTACCTGTATGTTCTGCGGGCGATGTTGGAGCATTTTTCGATTGTTCAGCTTCATACGCCAATTTCACTTCACATTTCTCCGCACAGGCTTTATCATGGCATTTGGTGCCTGGTTTGTTGCAGTTATTGCAGCACTCATCAAGCAATTTCATGAGCAGAACACAGAATGTCTCTGTTATATATACAATCCACGAAAGATAGTTGGCAGCGCGCGTTTCGGAAAACATGGAGACTACATCTAATGTAAGGGGCTGCATATACGATCCACAGGGGACGACTGGATTTTTGGAGGACCCGGAAGTGTTGCAGCTAATTATACCAAATAAGTCACCTTGGGAATGTTTAGCAGTGTGCGACTTGCTGCCTTGTATAGACACAATGTCCAATTTAGTATCTGGATTCCCGAAGTTGGCCTTTCGGGCTGCCTCGTCAAATGCGATTTGCTTATGATTTTGTCCCGAATAATGCTCAAGGAAGTTATAATAAAATGCAAACATGTCACCAAGAGTCTGAGGAGGCCTACGAATAAGACACGTGAAGAAAGCGCAGAGCATAGTGAGTGGTTCCCTTGCTGAACTACAGAAAGGTTGAAGAAGAGATTTCAGATGGGCACCCGTTTTTGTATGCGACGCTGCAATACCAATATCGGTGAAGCCCATCGGTGTGATACATGGAATACCTCTGTGATCACGCACTGAACATGTTAACTTACAACTGGGCAAAGTGAATGTATGTGGGAGGAAGCCTGGAAGACCGTCTTCCAAATATGCTTGGAGGGGAGATTTTATACAGCACTTAGGGTGTTGTTCACACGTTTGGTTAGCTATTTGGTTGGCACTTTGGTCACCCTGTTGGCCAGGGCATTGGAGCTTATTACAGCTCCAGTTGGACCCACCGACGTGCCTGCCGTAATGGCAATCACGCCAGCCGCTACTATCAGGACCATTGCAGCACTGTGTATATAGGAAATGAAGTTGGTAATTAAGTCTTAAACATATATCTACGAGCATATCAAAACATTTACTGATGTCATTAGGATATTCCAAATTGTCTGGGTTGGTATAAAATTCGCAGGCATAACGGCCGTCAGCATGGCCATGGCCTACGAAAGCACGTAATATTTCATATGAGCGCAGGGTTACAGTGTTGAATAAGTCTTTAATGTTTTTAATGCTGACGGTTGCTTTCATCGTCCAGGCGTCCCTATATGGCGCGGCGACGTCAAACGAATCGCTTGATAATTTATAGTCATTAGTTGATGCCTTAAACCATGTGTCGAAGTGCAATCGCAATTCATTGTACATCGGGTTCCACTGGATTGCGGAGAGCCAATGGAGCATTTCGTTTACAGTGGTCGGAGGCTTTGCGTTGGGAACATGCTTAAGGTGGCAGACGTAGCGGTACTTGTCGAACATAGTGTAATGGACTTTAATAATCTTATCAACTTCTACACCATTCTTAGTCGAGAAATATTTTTCCACAAGGTTTTTGGATTCACCGGCTATATAGGTGATTTTCTGGCTGAATAATTTACAAATATTCTCACCATTATGATGTCTGTCCAGCTGACCATTTTGCTTATCGGCAGAGTCGGACACGATGTATCCACACTCTTTGAGAAAAGCGCCAAGTTTGGTAGTTGAGATAATATTATCATTTTTCCAACCACCGAGAGAACTATGCTTCAAAGTATACATGTCGCGATCTAAGATATCCACTATGGTCAGGCAGACCTTGGCGCAGTTGCGGCCCTCGGTGGAGAGGACATTATCGGTGGTGGAGGTGTCGAAGTCATTTTCTTTTTTAAGCAACTCATCTTGGAATTTCATACCACTGTACCTGTTCACGTACGCGTGGGAGAGTTGCTCGGTGAATTTTCTCATGCCGGACTTGAGAACGTCCGGCAGCGTGTTGCACGGACCCTCGAAATTTGTCGGAACTAAACTATGAAGTGCGGTGCTAAGGTTACCAAGATTAATGGTGAGACTGTGAGTGAAGTGACCGGAGTTGTGAATTTCGTCGAGGAGAGTGTTTAGTTTGGATTGCACGGCGTCAAGCGCGTCGGCGTAAGGATGTTTATCGGTGTCATTGATAATGACTGGAGGATTCTTCTTTGCGTTGATGTCTTTATAGAGTCTCTTGATCTCCGTGTCCAAATACCCCTTTAGTGGCCCGACGAATTCCTTGAATTTCTGAGACAATTTTTTGAAGAGTGTTGCTTTCTCCTCAGCTGTGTCAGTGGACTCACTTGCAAGATCTTTGAGCTTTTTAATGTTTTCGTCAGTCGTTGCATTATCGGTAATTTTGCCTTCAAAGGTTCTCATAAAACCCTTAAAGCCCTCCTTTCGGTCGGTGTCGATGGCTGTTGGCAGAGGTTTCAATATCTTTTGAACTCTGTCGGCGAACTTCGTGAGCAGGAACTTGACGGAGGAAACGTATTGTTTTTGCGCGTGGGCTGTGAGAGTGGCGATTGCAGATGAGACTTGTTGGCCTGTGTGTTGTGTGAGTGCGTTTATGCATTTCGTCCTAAATTGGTCTGCTTCCAATTTGATTAATTTTTCAGTTTCCTGAATTGTCTTCTTTAAAGCGTCGTTTTGCGACGCGAGTAGGTTGTAAAGGTTCTGCAGCGTATTTGGCTTAGCTTTGTCACCTAAATAGGTCCTACCGATTTTGTCAACTTTTAGAGTGTTCAATTGCTCGTTGACTTTCTGGCCGGCTTTCTTGAACTCTTCGACCAGAGCGCTGAGATTTTGGAAGATTTGTGACGATAATGTCTTGAATATACTTCCATTAGTTGTGGACGTTTGAGCAGATTGGAAGTCTGTCTCCATCTTACTCTTAATCCCCCCAAGCGCCCCCTCAATCTCCGCCTTGATCTTCAAGAGGCCTTTGGAATTCGCAGCACCGCCACCAAGTGGTGTCCAGCTATCACCTTTTTCAAGGCCGGTATTTTTCAGATTTTCCAAGTACTGTTTGATACCATTTGGATCACTGTCGGCCGGTGGCGGATTAGGGTTTTCTTTCGTATTATCGACGTAGTGGGCGATGGCCTGGAGCTCTTGGGTGATTGTGGAGACGTGGGTGTCAACGGCCTTTGTGCTGTCAACCACGGTGCCCGATTGAAGTTCACTTTTTTGTGTTGCGAACTCAGACATATTTTCGAAAGATGATACAGAATTTTTAATCTCCTTGTCAATTAGCTTTTTATACAGGCTGTCCCCACCTCCTTGAGCTTTGTTTTTCCTCTCGATGTATTTTTTCATGACATCATTAACCTCCAATTCGCCACCGTTTTCCTTCATCCCCTTGTTGACTTCCGTCTTTATATGCTTAACCCTCTGTTCGAGAGGGTCGCCGGGACCAGGAGCGAGGGAAGTGGGGGCCTCGTTACCTTGGCTGGCGTTATACGCCGCCTCGAGACTACTGAAAAGCGTCCCAGCCTTCCCCAAATCCTTCTCCACTTGCCCCTGAATCTGCAAAAGCATCCCACCAACATGCTTTTTCATATTCTTTACAATCTCTTTTTGCAGTCTCTCCAAATCCTCTTTCATGCCGGTTTCCAGATCTGCAACGGCTGCGGTAACTTTACTTACCAACTCCGAAACCTTAGTATACGCCGCCGCGTAAGCACTCAAAAGGTCCGTGGCTTTTTTCTGCAACGCTTCAGCTTGCTCTTTAATTTTCACTTGTCCTCCATTCTCAGCGGACTTTTCATCCACCCTCTTCAATATCTCCGTACACTTCCCCTCCGCCTTTCCGATCACAGCGTTCGCGGCGTTTTTCCAACCGTTCAGCTGGTCGACTTTAGTAGTTTTTCCATCATTAACCAATCTATCCACTTCGCTCTTCGCGCTCTGAAATTTATTATAAAGCTCTGTAGCCTTTTGTTTCAACTCCTCTGCTTTGCATTCAGCATCAAATTGTTTCTTCGCTCCCACGTCATTTTTCTCAATCTTTGTCACGCCTTTCATCGCTTCATCCACACTTTTATCCGCCTTTTCGATCCACTGCAGCAACTCGACAACATGTTCCTCTAACTTCTGGCTAATTTTCTTAAGATCATCCCAAATCTTCTGAAGCCTTTGATTAAATTGCTTAACCAGCGTGTTGACTGCTTCATGAATTTTGTCATCCACGCACCTCTTAAGTCCATTCAAGGTATCACGAATTTTACTCGTCATAGCATTCATGTCACTTTTTCTCATCGCAGACAACTCACTGAGTCGATTACCCTCATGAACAATATTTTCGATCGCATTATTAATTCTACTTTTCAATTCAGCATTCAGGTCTTTTAATTCATCTCTATCTTCAAACCTTACAGCCTTGTCAACACGGCGACCTTTTCTGTATTCGGGTCGCCTACCACTCGAAGCGTCTCTGGAATCGTCATATATTTTATCACGAAAATCATTTTTGAAATCCGTACCTTTAGAAGCATACGTCTTGACCAAGGCCTCCGCCGCCTCCACAGCCCGGGATAACTCAGCGTCCTGAGAAACATTATTTTCATTTATGGCATTCAACTTATCTGTTAAAGTATGTCCAACACTATCACGCAATGCAGTAACAACACTTTTCACACTCTCATTCGACGCTGCCACTCTCTCATTATATGCACGTACACCACCGGCCACCGCGGCTATCGCCGCCCTGTATTTAGTAATACCATTATCATTTGTGCTTTCAAGTGTGCTAAGTGCGCTAGTTAAAGTGTCTTTATGCTGGCCTAATTTAGGCTTAATGTTACCAAGAACTCCATGCAAGAACGCCATCACCCCGTCGCACAGCCTGTCAAGGTCGGAGTACACAATTCCTTCTCCGGTGTAATTACCATCATGGTAGCCGAGAAATTTTTCGAGGCCTGTGCAGAGGTTTTCTAAAAGCTTTTTAGGCTGTTCATTATTTTGCTTCATTTTACTAACTTCATTACAATGTTGACACAGCGTTTGTAGACTCTTGAGAGACATCATAGACTTCTGATGAGAGTCAAGAGATTTAGAATCTTTTTCAGGGAAAGCATTTTTTGCAACTTTAAGTTGCTCTTCAGATTGTTTAAGCTTATTTTTAAGCCTATCATTATTTTCCCCCTCCTCAATTTGCTTTTTAAGCTCATTCACTTGAGATTGAGCGTCAACAACTTTATTTTTCTTAGCATCAAGTGACTCAATTACAATTTTAACAGCATCAATTACAATTGTAATTTTGTCTTTAAGCGTGGAACTTTGTTGCAAAATTTCTTTTTGAAGCTCATCAATTTCACTTTTAAGCTCATCAATCTCAGACTCACCGCCGGGCGGCGCCCCTTCAGGCGCCTTACTTTTTTCAGCAATTTCTTTATTAAGGCCATTAATTTTTGTTGCAATTTCATCATATTTTTCAAATGTCTTTTGAAGATTTTTAAGATGTCCAACACGGAAATTCTTAATATCACAATCACACCCCTTACCTCCGCAAGATGCTTTTAAAAGCTTTTCAAGCTGATTTACATTACTGCGCAAACCATTCACAAGAGCATTTTTAACTTCATCTCCACCACCAATAAAACCGGAAAGCTGTCCAGCAAGCTGACCAAGAGAGATACGGCGGGCATCAATATCATCCAACGCTTTTCCCCTGGCATCCTGAGTAAGGTAATGTACTTCATTGTAATGGCCATTGTAGTTGGATTAAAGGTGGATTAAGGAAGGGTTAAAAGGAGTAAAAGGAGGTGAAATGGCACATTTTCAGGGCGATTTGGGGGAGTTTGGAGAAAGGCGATTTTAGGTCAAGGAGGGAGCGAGGGAGGTGGGTGGACAGGGTGAGGGAAGAGGAGGGGCGAAAGAGGGCGACGAGAGAGGATGATGGGTTGAGGTAAGGGGATTTTAGGGGTGGAGGGAGAAAGTGGAAAATGAGGATTTGGGTGAAGGACGCCGACGGAGGAGGTGATGAAGGAGGAGGGAGGAGGGAGCGAAGCGACCAGTGAAGGAGGGAGTTGGGTGAGTGAGTGGGTGGGTGAGTGGGTGAGTGGGTGAGAGAGTGGTGAGTGGTGAGTGAGTATGTGAGTGGGTGAGTGAGTGGGTGAGTGGTTGAGTGGGTGGTTGAGTGGGTGGGTGGGTGGTTAGGTGAGTGGGTGATTAGGTGAGTGGGTGAGTGGGTGGGTGAGTGGTTGAGTGGGTGAGTGGTTGAGTGAGTGGTTGAGTGGGTGGTTGAGTGGGTGGGTGAGTGAGTGGGTGGGTGAGTGGTTGAGTGAGTGGGTGAGTGATTAGGTGGGTGGTTGAGTGGGTGGGTGAGTGGGTGGGTGGTTGAGTGGGTGAGTGGTTGAGTGGGTGGTTGAGTGGATGAGTGAGTGGGTGGGTGAGTGGTTGAGTGGTTGAGTGGTTGAGTGGTTGAGTGGGTGAGTATGTGAGTGAGTGAGTGAGTGAGTTGGGTGATTAGGTGAGTGAGTGGGTGGGTGAGTGGGTGGTTGAGTGGTTGAGTGGGTGAGTGGTTGAGTGGGTGGGTGATTAGGTGGGTGAGTGGGTGAGTGGTTGAGTGGGTGGTTGAGTGGATGAGTGGGTGGGTGAGTGGGTGGTTGAGTGGTTGAGTGGGTGAGTGAGTGAGTGGGTGAGTAGGTGAGTATGTGAGTGATACACAGATCACACGTGAAGGCACGATTATGGTGAGAAGTACTTGACGTTGGCGAGTGCCTTGACGCGTGCGGCGGCGAGTAGGGACTGCGCGGCGATGCGGTGGCTTGCGGGTGATCTCAGGTGGGAGCGTATCCTCAGGACGTCGAGGCGGACGACGGCGATGTGCAGCAGGTACAGGAGCGACAGCGACCAGAGGGCTAGTAACGTTAGCATAAATGGCCATCTGATTTCTTTCAGGAATTCATCACAAGCTTCGAACAGCTTCTGGAAATATGTCGAATTAACAATGTTTGAAAGTTGTATGTAGAAATGATGGCAGTATCGTTTTTCCTTGCTGTCCGATAATTTCTGCGGATTGCCAAACGTGAATCCATATTGGTATAACGCGCTCTGTACGCCGCGGCATTCAACGAGTCCCCGGCACCGGCAGTTTTCAATTCCATGCTTCCCAGTTTTACATTTGTCACCGTTAACACATCTGCCGCAGCCCCAATCCTGGCAGGATATGTTGGAGAAGGCATCAAGTAGGCTTTTGAGATACTGGCAGAACGTCCACGGCAGGTAGACAGCCCAGGAAAGATATAGATGGCAATGCTTCTCAGCGAGGAAAGTATATGTGTCGTTGTACAGGGACTGAAGGTACGGAGCACAGTGAAGTTTGTCTGCGTGAGCGCGCATACATGTCGATGGAGTCGACATGGTGTACAGATCGGCTTCTGTGGATTTGCGATGGTTGGAGATGTCGTGGCTGTTATACGCATTGGTAAAAGCACTTGTGAATTTGTTATAATCTTTACACAGCTCAATGGACAGCTCCTTGGTTGTGGTCTCAAAAGCCGTCGCGACTGGATTCGTACCGGATTTGTTGCCATTATTCAACATATCAACTAAGGTCAATGCAAACTGGAAATGTTCCGGTAGTGTGGATGGCGGTTTGACAACAAGGCAGAAAAGGGAAGGGATATATTCATCGGCGAACATTCCGTCAAGCAGTTCCCACATGTCTGAACCCCTCTTCGTAGACCCACAGAAACCTCTGAAGCCAAGCGGAGTGAGACAGGGCATTCCCAGCCTGGAGGTAGTAGGGCAGGTGCTGCATACGGATTTACATCCAACGCTGCTTAGGTGGTGAGGTAAGTGACCAGGCAGACAGTCATTTAAGTAAGACATTAATGGTGAAGTTGGTTGGCAATTTGGTTCGCACTTTGCCTGGCACGTAGGTCGGCACTTTGCTTGGCCCGTTGCTTCGACAGTTGACTGCCTCTCACAATGTGATTTGGCGGTAGGCACGTCTTTTCCGTAGGGGCAGTCACGCCAGCCGTTGTGCTCAGCGCTTAATCCGCACCGCAAATATAGGTATTTAAGTGGCTGGAAGAGTCTACGTAAGACATCTAGCAGCATATTCAAACAGTCTTCCCCTTTTTGAGGATAGTGTAATTTCAGGGAGTTGTCATAGAAGTCGACGCCGTACATGGTATTGGCATCGCCTGTGCCAACTATGCCAGTCAAAATGTCATATGAAGTTGAGCAGACATATGTCACCGCTTTTCGTGCATCATCATATTCCATCGGCTGTGGATACGCTGGCAGTGATTCGGAGTCTATAACTGTGAGAGTTATACCGTCGTGTGTTGTCTGTTTACGTGGATCAGAAAACAGATCACTTATGGTTTCATCTAACATAGGTAAAAACACAGAATTGCACGGCAGTCCACACAACCATATAAGTTTCTCATACACAGAACACGGATGTCTCTTGGATGATGAATTGAGTAGGTGGCCAAGTTTGTAGTACGCATCAATGTGACTGTGAATACATTTAAGAATGTCTGTTACCTTAAAGTCTGTTCGTTTTTTATTTGGTCTACAAGTTGTAAGGTGTTTTGTTAGGTTGGCTTCTGAAATCGGCTCGTTAAGTTTCTCGTGAATCTTCTTACCGTTGCACCCGGTGGAAGGGAATTTCAATTCACCGTCATGGGAATCTTCTTTTTTGGTAACTTCATAACCGCACTTTTGCAGGAAATGTCCCAGGTGATTGTGTATATTAGGTTTGGAAACGAGACACATTTTGTTATGCTTCCAAGGGTGTTCACAGTCTTCCTTCAACTTGGTCAAATGGTCATATACAGAGGGTAAGATGGTTAAGCATAACTTAGCACACTTAGTGCCATACTCTGTTATTTTGGCAGTTGGCTTTCCATCAGCGTCCCTCTTAGTCTCCACAAGTTGACCACCGAACGTCTCCCCCGAGTACCTGCTGACGTACTGCTTGCGTAGCTCCTCGTGGAGGCGAGTGACGCCGCGCCTTATGACGTTGAGCAGGGGAGAGGCGTCGGCGAATTCCTTGGGGGTGAAGTTGTGCAGTGCTGTGTTGAGCGCGTCGATTTTGTCGGAGACTTCCTGGTGGAAGTGTTGTTTGGTGTTCATTGTGGAGAGGACTTGGAGCAGGGCATCTTGCAGTGTTGTGATTCTATTTGCGTCAGTGGTTAAATCGGACTGCTCATTTAAAGCGTTGAGGAATTTGTCATAAAAGCTTTTTACTCTGTTGGCAGCGGTTTGTAGATCTTTGGCCGAATTCGTCAGACTGGGAAATACAGCTTTCAGCTTGTTCATCAGGCCTTTCAGGCCTGCATCCATGTCGTCGTCAATTGAGTCTTGGATCTTAGGAATTTGCGATGACACAGATGTTGAGAGAGCCTTTAATTCAGCTTTCTTCTGGGCATCGAACATTTTTTGGACGTGTTCATCCAAGTCGTCAAATGCCTGACCTACTCGTTTTTGCAAATCTATTCGGAGAGCTGACGTGACAACCTGGGCATTACTTTCAGCGTCTTTTATTGATATTTCTAGCAGTGAGATGGCCGCCTGTATGACACTAGTGGCGGTCCCGATAGGCCTGTCGATTCCCTGAATTCGGGATTGAATACTCTCGATCCTCTGTTTCAATTCGGCCATGTACGCACCGGCGCTTTCTTTCTCACTGTTGACGGCTTCGGGAAGCTTCTTAAGGTCATTAAGCTCCACCTGGATTTTTTGAACGGCTGCGCTAAGTTCCATTCTGGACGCCTCAAAGAGCTTCATTAATTGTGCTACTTTTATTTTGGGTTCATCACCGTTGTCTTCCATTTGAAATCTTCCAATTGCCTCCTCAATAGCCTTTTTGGCGGCATTTTGGATCTGTAGTCTAGCAGCGTTGTTGAAGGCGTTAACGGCGCCTACAAGACCATAACCACTGATGTCGCCTGTATTGCCAATGACAGTCGTTAACTTTGTGATCAGCTTAGCGAGAGAATTTTCGTCTGGATTGGAGGATGTTCCTCCGTCACCGAAAACGACATTTTTGAATGTCGGGAACTTCTCTATCAGTGTCTCGAATTTCCCATTCAAATCACGTTCGTATTTACTTTTAAGTGACGTAGATGTAGCAGTGATGTCTCCAGTTGTCAGATCCAGCGTACTCTTAGCCGTCCCAAGCTTAGATAACGCCTCTTTAACAAGCTCATTTTCTTCTGGATTGCTGTAAACAGTGTCGTCAAGCTCATCAATCTCCCTCTCAAACTATCCAAATCAGCCAGCACATTAGATTGAAGCTCGCCGACTTTACTCTGAACACTCTCAAACTGCGTCCACAGCTCCGACTTGTTACTGCCGCCGCCGTTACCGTCATTTGTAAACTCCTCTATTCTAGTTTTAATTTCACTAAACTTCTCGGTGATTTTCTCCTTGTAACCCTGCGTAAATCCATTTGCCTCCTCGCTCAGTAATTCCTTAGCCAACTTCTTGGCCGATTGCACGGCGCTTGTAATATACTTAAGATGCTTATCTTTTTCCTGTTTTACATTTTCGATTTTTTGACTGATAGCTTCAAAATTCTGTTTTAACGCTTGTTGCATTTCACTTATTTTTAACGCAATATGCTCATTCACTTCTCTGCGTTGACGAGTAAATTTCTCACTCAACTCATTTACGGAATTTTTCACGTCATCATTATTCACCGCATCCCAAAAATTCTGCATCACCTGTTTTAACAACTCTATTTTACACGCTATTTTCCTACTCAGGCCATCATCAATATCCCTTAAAGCTCTTTCCGATTGCAGAGCCTTTTGGAGGTAAAGTCCAGCAAATCCCTGCCAAGTCAACAACTGATCTGTAATAGAAATGTCATTCATCTCCGTCTCCATATGCCCACTTAACGATTCCTTAAGCTCTTCCAACGGCCTCATCACCTCTCTATGCTTTTCATCCACCCCCCTCACCCACTGCTTAATCCCATCGCTCACAACGCGAATACTACTATCAAAATTTTTTCTATTATAGAGAGCTTCAGTAATTTTTTGAAGTGGCACAGTTAAAGGAGTATTATATTTTTGAAGATTATCATTTGTATGAACATCATTTAAAACACCATGAAGGAAAGACATCACCCCGTCGCAGAGCCTGTCAAGGTCCGAGTACACAATTCCCTCTCCGGTGTAATTACCATCCTGGTAGCCGAGAAATTTTTCGAGGCCTGTGCAGAGGTTATTTAATAATGTTGTAGAAGGATTATTTTAGGCACGTTTTTAGGGCGATTTGGGGGAATTTGGGGAAAGGCGATTTTAGGTCAAGGAGGCAGTGAGGGAGCGAGGGAGGTGGGTGGACAAGGCGAGGGAGGTGGAGGGGCGAAAGAGGGCGATGAGGGAGGAAGATGGGTGGAGGTGAGGCGATTTTAGGGGTGGAGGGAAATGGTGGAAAATGAGGATTTGGGTGAAGGACGCCGACGGAGGAGGTGATGGAGGGTGAGGGTAGGGAGCGAAGCGACCAGTGAAAGAGGGAGGTGGTTGAGTGGGTGAGGCAGGGAGCGAAGCGACCAGTGAAAGAGGGAGGTGAGTGAGTGGGTGGGTGAGCGAGTGGTTGAGTGGTTGAGTGGTTGAGTGGTTGAGTGGTTGAGTGGTTGAGTGGTTGAGTGGGTGAGTGAGTGGGTGGTTGAGTGGTTAGGTGAGTGAGTGGTTGAGTGGTTGGGTGGTTGAGTGAGTGAGTGGTTGAGTGGGTGGGTGAGTGAGTGGGTGGGTGAGTGGTTGAGTGAGTATGTGAGTGGGTGGGTGAGTGGTTGAGTGGGTGAGTGAGTGGGTGAGTGGTTGAGTGGGTGGTTGAGTGGGTGGGTGGGTGGTTAGGTGAGTGGGTGATTAGGTGAGTGGGTGAGTGGGTGGGTGAGTGGTTGAGTGGTTGAGTGGTTGAGTGGGTGGTTGAGTGGGTGGTTGAGTGGGTGGGTGAGTGAGTGGGTGGGTGAGTGGTTGAGTGGGTGAGTGATTAGGTGGGTGGTTGAGTGGGTGGGTGATTAGGTGGGTGGTTGAGTGGGTGGGTGAGTGGGTGGGTGGTTGAGTGGGTGTGTGGGTGGATGAGTGGGTGAGTGAGTGGTTGAGTGGGTGAGTGATTAGGTGGTTGAGTGGGTGAGTGGGTGGGTGGTGAGTGAGTGGGTGAGTGGGTGAGTGAGTGGGTGAGTGAGTGGTTGAGTGAGTGAGTGGGTGGTTGGGTGAGTGATACACAGATCACACGTGAAGGCACGATTATGGTGAGAAGTACTTGACGTTGGCGAGTGCCTTGACGCGTGCGGCGGCGAGGAGGGACTGTGCGGCGATGCGGTGGCTTGAGGGCGAGCGCAGGTGCGAGCGTATCCTCAGGACGTCGAGGCGTACGACGAGGATGTGCAGCAGGTAGAGGAGCGAGAGCGACCAGAGGGCTAATAATGTACACATAAATGGCCATCTGATTTCTTTCAGGAAATTGTCACATTCCTTGAACAGCTTATCAAAGTAATCAGAATGTAACACGTTATATAACTGACCACAGAAATCCTTACACTTCTTCGCCGTGCTACCACCATTCAACGTCGACGCCTCGCCGAAGCTGAACCCATACTGGTAGAGCGTCGGTGCCACGCCTCTGCAGGATACTATGGATTCACACTGACAGACGTCATCTGGTTTCTTCTCATCCTCAACGACACCATGCTTGCCACTCTTGCACTTGTCTCCTCTGAGACATCCTCTGCATCCCCAATCTGCACAAGTGATTTGGCAAAAGGCATTATATAAATTGTTGAGTAAATCCCAGAACGTCCATGGGAGGTAGATGGCCCACGACAAATATGTGTTGCAATGCTTCAGTGCCAGGTAATAATTGGAGTCGCAGGATAACGATGAAAGGTAGGGGGCGCACAATGTATTTTTAATAGGGTCACTACACGACGATGTCATAGAAAGACTTGATAAATCGTCATATAGAGGACGATGACTATTATCAGCATAATTGTAATGCCTACTACGGTATGCGTCACGAAGCGCACCGGTGAGCTCACCTGCTTTCTTATACAGATCAATAGATTGGCCTTTTATAGATTTCTCAAACTCTTTCTCGAGAGGACTCTTATGTGGATTTTTACCGTCATTCCAATCTCTCACTAGTGACAGCACAAATCCGAAATGCTCTGGGAGCGAAGCCGGCGTTTTCGGTTTAAGGCAGAATAGGGATCTGAGGTCGGCGTCATCGAGCATTTTGGTCAGCACGTTACATAGGTCTTTGCCCAGGCGCGTACTTCCAGAGAAACCTCTGAAGCCAAGTGGCGTTAAACATGGCTGCCCGGGCTTGGATTTGGGGCAGGTGGAACATGTAGCTCTACAACCGATGGAGGATAGCTGGTGAGGTAAGTGACCGGGAAGACTGTCGGTAAAGTACGACATAAGCGGTGACCTGGGAACGCAGTCAGATTCCTTATCAGCAATATGCTTGTCGCACTGCCAGTTAGCGTGTTTGACTTCCTTGCCATACTGGCAGCCGGCCCAACCAAAGTCGGATGACAGACTATTACATTGGCTATATAAGAATCTACATACGGGAAACATTCTACGTAATATGTCAAGCAATGTATCTAAACAAGCTTCCCCGGAAGAGGGGTAACTAAAATTAAGGTAATTGTTGCTAAAGTCAGAGGCATACAGGGTGTGTTCATCGCCGTGGCCTAGGATAGTGGTGAGCAGGTCATGGGATATGGATGTAATGTGTTGTACGACATTAAATAAATCTGTATATGCTACGTTGTATGGATGGGCATCCATTGATAATCGGGTTAGGGGAATCTCAGAGTGCTTCTTATTCTTGTAGTATTCCGGCTTATCAAATTTGCTTTTAATGGCATCAAGCAGGCTGCCATATACACGGTTAAATCTGACGCCACAAAGCCAAGAAAGCATATCATTGACACTATACGGAGATTTAGGTCTAGGGTGAATAGTTATGTGACACACTCTATTGTATTCTGTGAGGTGAGTGTAAAGGCAACCAAGAACGACTGGGACGTTAATTGTCGTTAGGCTTTTTGCCGTACACGTTTCAAAATGCTTATTGGTTGCGGCTTTCGGAATCTCTACTTTAAGAAGTTCATCGAGAATCTTTCCACCAGTTACACTCGTTTTGCATTGAGATTCACCGTCCTTAGAAGTGTGCTTTTCGGCGATCTTGTAGCCACATCGCTGTAGGAACAAACCAAGTGGATTGTTTCCATGGCCATTCGTTTCGCACAATCTTTGGTCTTTCCAGTCACGTTCGCATTCATACTTCAACCTGGTAAGATCATCATAAACGATTTTCAAAAGTGTGAGACACGCCTTACCGCATCTCATGGCGTCGGCACTTAATTTAGGCTCACCCGTCTTGCCCTTTGATTCCTCCCATGTAATTTGCTCTGCGCCCGAATATTTCGACACGTACGCCTTCTCCAGTTGCTCAGTCATCTCCTTCAATCCGCCTTTCAAAGCGTCCAGTAGTTCCGGGTGGCTGTAGCCGGCGAATAGAGTTGGCGCCAGGCCGGTGACCAGCGTGTTGAGTGTATCTAAATGAGTTTGAGAAGTGTGGTCAAAATATAATTTTCTACTAGTGCTGTCTATAAGATATTTAAGTAGAGTGTTTAATGCTTCTTTGATTTTCTCCACATTTTTCACCTCAGTGTCGGAGGCCTTATGTGATTTAGGTCTGACTTGCGTGGTGATGTAGTCGAAGATTGATGTGGAGTATTCTTGGAATTTCTGCGAGAGTTCAGAAAACTTTTCATTAGTTTGCGCGGCTTTCGGAAGTGGAGTTGGTACGAGATCTTTGATTTCATCGAGCAGTGTACGTGCAGCAGACTGTTCCCCTTTCATTTTGTTTAACAGACCCTTGATGCCGTTGGTTTTATCAGCTTCTATAAGCTCATTTATGATGGGAAATTGTTTGTCCACTAATTTTTTCAACGCCTTTAATTCCTCTTCGTGCTGCATGGTGAACATTTTCTTCACTTCTTCAGTCACTTTGTCAAAGGCTTTTGTAGCGGTTTCGGTCAGTTGTTGTTTTACTTGGTTGATTTGTTCCGTCAACGCTGCTTTGGCTTTTTGACAGTTGATTTTGCTTCTTCGATTGCCGATTGAAGGGACTTATTGAAGGCTTGTATATTTGTATTAATATTTCCGATGCTATCCTTTAGTCCTGCAACTTGATCTCTCAATCCTATAACTTGTGTCCTTATTTCGCCGTCAGCACTTCCTTTTGTAGAGGTGACGAGCAGTTGGAGTCTTGTAATCTTCTCTTGAAGCTCCGCAATTTGCTTTTGAATATCGCCTGACAAGTTGGGGACAGAATTCTTCTGCAATTTGTCAATTTGCGGCCTAATCTCAGGTTCGATACCGCTGAGTTGGGTATGAATCTCAGTCACTCTATTATTTAACATGCTAATGCCCTTATTGGCTGCATCGTTGAGTAGAGGTTTGAGTGGAGTGTTGAAATCGACGCTGGTGACCTTTTCAACCCTAGCATCAACGCTGTCGTCAAGAGCAACGACCTCACTGAGATCCGCAGAAGAGCCTTTAAGCGCCGCTCCGAGCTTTTGGTCGAGCTTTGTAATTTCAGATTGCACTCCTTCCAGCGTTATGATTTGCTTAAGCACTTGTTCGATGTGTTGTTGTGCTTCCGATCTTTTCTTTCCATAATCGCCGAATTGTCCGAGGTGGAATTCTGAATCACTCGATTTTACGCCATTGGTGAAGTACGGTGCAAGGTCCTTTTCTATCTTGCCTATTTTGGCTTGGAGGGAATTGGGGTCAGCGTTTGACCGCGATTTTATTTGCTCATTTAATTTTCGGAATACATTGTCGAAGTCGGAAGTTTTTATTTTATCAATTGCCGATGAGACAGCCTGATAAGCCTCAGCTTGTGCTAATTTAATAGCCTGCTTAAACCCGTGCAATTCCCATGTAGCCTGGAGTTGACCCCCATTAACATGGCCGATACCACTATTTTGCAGGCCTTGAATGGCGCTGAAAACTTTATTCCTTACCTTGTCTCTAACGTTGTCCAAATCTAATTTCACCTGACTCGGCAACAATTCCTTTGCGTCGTCAACGTCTCGAATATCCTGATGAATTGCGTTGCCAATTTTACCTGCGCCTATTTTAAGTTGCTCGTCCAGTTTATCCAGGTTTTCTTTGACTGAGTTGGCTTTAGTGTATAGCGGAGAGTCATGCTGGACGACACTTGTCGCTTTAACATCATTCATTGCACTTGTAATCCCTGCAATCGACTGCTTGACCAATTTTACGTACTCCGTAAAGCATTCGCTGATTTGACTCCTTACCTGCCCCTTAAGCTGAGTGATTTCCTCACTCAATGCATTCTTAATTTGGGTTATACCGCCCTCCACACCTCTCGTAACTTCTTCACCAGAACTACCAAGCTGCTCCAACTGCTGACTAAGCACCTGCAACTGCCTGTTAATGCTTTCGTAGACCTTATTTAGATCATCAGAAACTTCACTAGTATTAAGCGCCTTAACCTGTCCATTAATTTTGCCTAATTCATTGACAATTTGACTCCTATACGCATCCACCAATGTATTTGCAGCTCCGTCTGCTCGTCCCACTGAAGCCACCAATGACTCCACAGATTTCTTCAAAGCCTCCAACTTCTCCTCACGCAAATCTCCAATAGCACTTACACGACGTTCCATCTCACTTAATTTGCCTTGCGTGGTCCTTTCAAGTGCGTCAGATTTATCCTTAATTGTATTCAACACTTCTTCTTTTTTGCTCTTTATCTGAAAATCTACATCCCTAACCTGACCAGTCAAATCAAGATTATCGGACGATTTTTTCAACAACTCCACCGCCGTTTCTATTTTTCCTAATGGGACGTTCAATTTCTCTTTTAATGAATCATCGAGCCCTTTGAAGCCTTCTTCAGTTTCCCTCAGCGTTTTCATACGGCTCATCACCTCTCCAACGTCCTGGCCGAAAATGGTCTGTATTGTGGATAGACTGCTAATAGACTCCGGCTTCAGGTACTGTATCTGTGCACTTATTAAGGTTGTTAACTTACCTAATTCGCCGAGTACATCTTGAGTCCTCCCCTCCACCTGCTCACCATGATTTTTCAACCACTCACTTACCTTATGCACGGCGACACCGAAGGCCTGACGGCCTTTACCTACACTAGTGTTAAGAGTGTTAATAACTGAAGTAATATTTTTATTAGTGTCTTTAACATCATAAGTTGTAACATTTTCATCCTCCCTCACTCCACTAAGCACTCCACCCAAAAACGCCATCACCCCGTCGCAGAGCCTGTCAAGGTCCGAGTACACGATGCCGGAGCCCGAGTAGCCTTTGGAAGTTTCTTGGTAACCAAGGAACTTCTCCAAGCCAGAGCACAGGTTATTAAGTAAATCATGTGGATTATTTTAGGCACATTTTTGGGGCGATTTGGGGGATTTTGAAAAAGGCGATTTTAGGTCAAGGAGGCACTGAGGCAGTGAGGGAGGTGGGTGGACAGGGTGAGGGGAGTGAAGGGGCAGAGAGAGCGACGAAGGAGGTGGAGGGGGAAGGTGGAAAATGAGGATTTGGGTGAAGGCGCCGACGGAGGAGGTGAGGGAAGGGGTGAAGGAGGGAGCGAAGCGACCAGTGAAGGAGGGAGGTGGTTGAGTGAGTGTGGTTGAGTGAGTGGTTGAGTGGTTGAGTGAGTGGTTGAGTGAGTGGTTGAGTGAGTATGTGAGTGAGTGGGTGAGTGAGTGGGTGGTTGAGTGGGTGGGTGTGTTGGTGAGTGGTTGAGTGAGTGGTTGAGTGGTTGAGTGATTGGGTGAGTGGGTGGGTGAGTGAGTGGGTGGGTGAGTGGGTGAGTGGTTGAGTGGTTGAGTGAGTGGGTGAGTGGGTGAGTGAGTGGTTGAGTGGTTGAGTGGTTGAGTGGTTGAGTGATTGGGTGAGTGGGTGGGTGATTGGGTGAGTGGGTGGGTGGTTGAGTGAGTGGGTGAGTGGGTGAGTGGGTGAGTGGGTGTGTGGGTGAGTGGGTGGGTGAGTGTGTGAGTAGTTGAGTGAGTATGTGAGTGGTTGAGTGAGTATGTGAGTGGTTGAGTGTGTGGTTGAGTGGGTGAGTGATACACAGATCACACGTGAAGGCACGATTATGGTGAGAAGTACTTGACGTTGCCGAGTGCCCTGACGCGTGCGGCGGCGAGGAGGGACTGTGCGGCGATGCGGTGGCTTGAGGGCGAGCGCAGGTGGGAGCGGATGCGGAGTACGTCGAGGCGGACGACGGCGATGTGCAGCAGGTAGAGGAGCGAGAGCGACCAGAGGGTTACGAGGGTGATGGAAAAGAAGTTGAGAAATGTTGAAGGATTATTTTAGGCACATTTTCAGGGCGATTTGGGGGAATTTGAGAAACACTATTTTAGGTCAAGGAGGCAGGGAGGGAGGTGGGTGGACAGGGTGAGGGAGGTGAAGGGGCGAAAGAGGGCGGTGAAGGAGGAAGACGGGTGGAGGTAAGGGGATTTTAGGGGTCAAAGGAATTTTTTGGAAAATGAGGATTTGGGTGAAGGACGCCGACGGAGGAGGTGATGGAAGGGGGTGGAGGCAGGGAGCGAAGCGACCAGTGAAGGAGGGAGGTGGTTGAGTGGTTGAGTGGGTGGGTGGTTGAGTGGGTGGGTGGGTAGGTGATTAGGTGAGTATGTGAGTGGGTGAGTGGTTGTGTGAGTGAGTGGGTGGTTGAGTGGGTGGGTGAGTGGGTGGTTGAGTGGGTGGGTGAGTGAGTGGTTGAGTATGTGGGTGGTTGAGTGGGTGAGTGATTATGTAGGTGGTTGATACACAGATCACACGTGAAGGCACGATTATGGTGAGAAGTACTTGACGTTGGCGAGTGCCCTGACGCGTGCGGCGGCGAGGAGGGACTGCGCGGCGATGCGGTGGCTTGAGGGCGAGCGCAGGTGGGAGCGTATCCTGAGGACGTCGAGGCGGACGACGGCGATGTGCAGCAGGTACAGGAGCGACAGCGACCAGAGGGCGAGGAGGAAGAAAGAAAATGGTAATCTTATGTACCACAAGAAATTGTCGCATTCCTTGAATAATGTGTCGAATAGTTGCGATTTCAGCACGCTGTTAAGCTGCTTGTGTAGATGGTGACATTTTCTTGTGGCAACGTCAGTGAGTTGCAATCTGCTGGTGCTGCCAAATGTCATCCCATATTTGTACAACAATGGAAGCACAGATCGACAGCCGACAACTGAAGAACATTTACATGACGGGTTATCGTCTTCACAGTGGCCATGTTTACCTGGCCTGCAACTGCACGTTGAACAACCGTGCGCTTTGCACTCAATTTGCTCAAAAGCGTCGAAAAACGATTTTAGGAATTTCCACAAATCCCACGCTAAATACAGTATCCATGAAAGGTACGATTTGGCGTGCTTTTGCGGATAGGTGTGGCAAGTAGAAAATGCCAGCGGTCTTATGAAAGGGGCACATAGATTATTCTGTGTACAGACTTCCGTAGTGAAAAGACTGGAAAGCGCATCGTGACTCTGATGGCCATGTCCAACAAGCGCCGTGATAGCATTGGTCAGGCTCGAATTGTCGAAGTTATCGTGAACGTTCTTGTTAAGTGGGAAGGAATTTTCGATAGTGTTATCCTTAATGTGAGTAAGGTATGCACTATTATCATAATACGATGATGCTTTTCGTGCCTTGTCCGATTCCCACCTCCTAAACAACTGAGTATATAACGTAAACACATCAGCCAATGTCTTAGGCGCTGTGGGACAGATATACGACAACGAACGGCACAGTTGGAAGAGGCACGCATCTGCATCACTGCACAGAGTTTCTAAGTAATACGTTAGGTATTCGCCTGTATGTTCTACGGAGGCAGCGAAGTCAAGGTCACGGAAACCCATCGGAGTGAGACATTGCTGCCCAGGTTGGTTGTGTTTGCAACTAGAACATTTAATGGCATTGTTCTTTGCAGTGAGGACATGCGGTAGGAAGCCAGCACAGCTGTCTCTAAGGAAAGATTGAAGTGGAGACGTAGGTGGGCAATTCAGTTTGGTGTTTGCCTGGCCATTTGCTTGACCATTTGGTTGGCACTTAGGTTGGTCAGTTGGTTTGGACTTTGAGTGGTCCTTACACGACCAGTTTGCTGAAGGCACACCCTGGCCATAAGCGCACTCTTTCCATCCGTTGCCGGCGGACGCAGTGCGTTTACACTGTGCATACAGGAAATATATCGCATAACATAGACGTCTGACTATCTCATACACCATTCCGAGGAGCGTCGCTGGGTCTGAAGGATAATAGAAATTACCGTGGTTATTGGAGAAACATACACTGTACGGGTAATCACATTCCTCTGCGCCGTGACCGTTGCCGCAGATTGCGACGAGTAGGTGAGCGGATCTCTTACAAGACTCTCTGAGCGGTTTATGCGTTTGGGATTTGAGGACCGTCGTCATGACAGTATCATTCTTGTTGGCGTCTTCATTTAGAAGTTTGGTTATATGGTCCGGCAATTTTGGGAACACGTGACTATACGGAACGCCGGACATCCAAGAGAGCATGTCCCTAACTGAACATGGGTATCTGGCTGCGGACGGAAGCGTTTGGTGGCACACTTGCAAATAACTTTCGTAATAATTAAACAACTTCGTAATTAAGCCTTCTTCTTTCTCCCCTTTTATGGAGGTAAAGAGTCTATCTGCGCCGCCATTTATTTTCCCGGTGAGCTTGCTAAAGATATGTGAACCGGTACAATCTGGCTTGTTACGCAATTCGGCATCATTCTTATCATGGCGGCTCGGGACTTTGAAACCGCGGTTAGCGAGAAATACTCCCAAGCCGTTCTGAGTTTTATTACTGTCATACAAATATATTTGCTTGTTTTGCCAGTCACTGTTGCTGAAACTCTTCAACGTCATCAAATCCTGAGCCAGCGTGGGTAGAAAACTCAGACATGCCTGCGCGGCCTTTGGGCCGTCGGCGTCCCAGTTGAACATTTTGAAAGCCCCGGAGTACTTGGAAACGTATGCCATATTCAACTGTTCGTACAATTGCTGAATCCCCTCTTTAAGGCACTGCAGAATTGGGTTAGAGGGATCGGTGAATTTTGAGGGGGCGAAGGTAGATAATAGGTTCTGAAGTGTTTCCAGGTGATCACTAAATTTGTAGTCGAAGTGTCTAGAAGTCACGATATTTTCCAGTAAAACTATCAGCGATTTCACAGACGGCTCCACTTTGGGATACAGAGCCTTGAAGTCATCCTGATCTTGCAACTCGCCGATGAAACCTGAGAAGGCCTTTGTTGTTAGGCCAGCGGCACGCTTCAGCGGAGAATTCTCCGGGGCTTCGAAATAAGAAGTGAACGTCGGAATATCTTTCATGTCAGAAACTTTTGTAACAAAGAGTTCATTTAATTTCCCACAGAAGCCTTTAAGGCCACTCTTTTTATCTTCTGCAATCATCCCTTTCATTTCATCCTTGTGCCATTCAACACATTGCTTCAAGACTTCTAGGTCCGTCTGCTTTTGCACAGAAAACAACGCCTGGACCTCCTCAGTCACGGTTTTGAAGGCCTTTTTGACTTCGTCGGTGAGCTGAGTTTGGACGGTGGATATTGCATTTTTTAGAGCCTCTTTGGCTGCTGCAACAGTATCTTCCAAGGTTTTAATTGCATATGTCAAGGCTTTCTCGGCATCGGAGACTTGCTCCCTGATTAGATTAATTTTGTAAGATATTGTATGTTTCAAATCCTTCATTTTCTTGTCAGCTTCGTGTTTCTTTATCGCAATAATGCCATTCTCGTCTTTCTTTTTAATAGCATTTCCAAGGGTTTCAACGTCACTTTTTAGCTCATCAAGATTCTTTTCAATTTCACCGCTTTTATTCTGTAACAATTTCTCGAGCCTTGTAATTGCAGGCGTAACGGCGCTCAAAGCGTCATCAATTCTATGGCCGCCGTTAAAGTGCGAGCTTATGGTTTTCACACTTAGTATAGCTGCATCCAGATTTGTGTTAATCTTGGACGATGCAGTGAACCGCTGGAGTTCTTCAGCGACTTGCTTAAAGTTTTTAACGATAGAGTTAGCAATGGCTTTAACAACGTCTGTGAGATGTTTATCGTCGGAGAGAGGCGTTCGTGGATTTACTCTTCGATTCATCTCTAACGCCTCCCCAATCTTCCTGACTGCAGCCTCCATTGTTTCTTTACTTTCCGATCCTGTAAGTTCTTTTTCAACTTGACTGGAAAATTCATTGAACTTGGCACCAATGTCTTTAACTGTTGCCTTTTGAAGTCCGGCTTTTATAGCAGCACTTTCAACACCGGTGTTAATGCACCCGGGGAGTTCTGCTATGATGGCCGCTTTAACTGCCTGCCCTTTTGCATCCCAATCTCCTATGTCATTTAGCTTCCCATTAGCCTTGTTATTTATAACATACGTGCCGATTCTGCTACTAACAATAGTCTCTTTGGCATTAACAATTTCTTTCACCCACTGCTTTAATGTACTTTGCTCGAAAGCTTTCTGCGCAAACCCCTGCGCGTACGCAATTACCCCGTCTACAATCTGTTGAAGTGTACCACCTTCAGCAGAACCTGCACGCGGCTTAGTCAAAGTTGCAACAAGCCCATTCATTGTAACTTGAAGCTCTCTCCAATTCTTTTGTATACTTATATCATGGCTTGATCGCGTAGCATCTTCTTTGACTCCTCTCGTTATTGTCCCATACTCATGCTCCGCCTGCGCCACTAATCCATCAAGAACATCCTTATGCGCTTTCAAAGTGTCATACGCATTAGTAACGGCAATTTTGATCTCATCAAATTTCCAGGATATTTGTTCGCTAAAATTTGTGTCGAACTCGCTTTCCAGAAACTTCTGTGCTTCCTCCAAGCGCTCATTAATACGCTCAAACTGCAATTTCTTCTCAATTCTCAATCTTCCAAATTCTTCAAATATTTTCCAAAACTGTGCATTCAGCGTTCTTTTTAATTCTTCAGATTTCATCGAAATCTCGTCCGTTATTTTTTTCTGCTGCACCACCAACTCCTTATCCACCTTGTCAGCCTTCTCACTTAATTTCTCATTATCTGCAGACTCATATAACAACGTCAATGCGATGCTAAGCTTATCCAATGGAATGTTCAACTTGCTCTTCAAGCCTTCATCCAGCCCATTAAATCCTTCCTTGTTTTCTTTTAGGCCTTTCATCGCTTTAACGGCCCCCTCCAGCAGCTTATTCATCACATTCTGAATGCTACTAAGCTTGCTTGATTTAATTGAAGGCATGTAGGATAATTGTACGCTAATTAAGGTTATTATGGTATCTAACTCGCTAATTACCTTCTGCGTTCTTCCATCCATCTCCCCCTCATACCCCTGCAGCCCCTGCTGCACTCTCCCAATGGCATCGCGAAATCCTGAAACACCAGAGCCCTTACCTATTTTATCTTCTAACTCTCTTATAGTGTCAATAATCTGAGGATAATAATGATGTAAGAGTGTTTGACTGCCTTTAAGGCATTCAAGGATAAACGCCATCACCCCGTCGCAGAGCCTGTCAAGGTCCGAGTACACGATGCCGGAACCATCGTAGCCTTTGGAGGTTCCTTGGTAACCAAGGAACTTCTCCAGGCCTGTGCAGAGGTTATCTAAAAGGTTTTTACAAGCATCATCATGTTTATTATTAAGAGATTTAAAAGACTCATTAAGGCTCTTCAGCCTCTGAAGAGCATCCAACTTGGACTGACAAGACTCATGAGACTTATTAAGGTCATCGGGGACAGACGTTTTTTGGGTTTTATGTTCTTCTATTTTAGGTTTAAGAAGCTTTATTTGCTCTTCATAACGCTTAATTTTCTCATCAAACTTATCAGTATCTATGGACACAGCAGGCACGGAAGTGGAAGACTGCACAGGCGAAGACGGAGAGTTTCTAAGGCTTTTGAAGTCTTCATCACTGTCAATAATGCTGTCAATGCCATTTTTAATTGCTTTGGTAACAGCTTCACTTTGGCCAATAAATTGGCCAAGCTTCCCACTGAGCTCAGCAAGAGACACCATCCTGGAGTGGATGTCCTTCAACGCACCGTCCCTTTTGGACGTATTGTTGTGCACTTCACTTTTGTGGCTGCTTAAGTCAGATTGAAGTTTATTAAGCTTATTTTCATTAGGGTTGTCAGATTTTTTAAGGTTGTTAATTTGGCTGGTCAAGTGATCACAGTAGGAGACAAGGCTAGTGGAGGCCGACGAAGGAGGCCAAGAAGGGAGGGCAAAAGAGGTGAGAGAAGAAAATGGAAAAGAAGTTAAAAGGCCATTAGAAGAGGTGAAATGGGACACTTTTGGAGAATTTTAGAATTTTTTGAGAAAGGCGATTTTAGGTGAAGGAGGCAGTGAGGGGGTGAGGGAGGTGGGTGGACAGGGTGAGGTGAGTGAAGGGGCGAAAGAGGGCGATGAAGGGGGAAGATGGGTGGAGGTAAGGCGATTATAAAGTGGAAAAAGCGAAAATGATTGGAGCGAAGGACGCCGACAGATGAAAAAGAAAGGAAGGAGGCAAGGAGCAAGGTGAAGAGTGGAGTGGTTGAGTGGTTGAGTGGTTGAGTGGGTGAGTGGTTGAGTGGTTGAGTGGGTGGTTGAGTGGGTGAGTGAGTGGGTGGTTGATTAGGTGAGTGGTTGAGTGGTTGAGTGGGTGGTTGAGTGGGTGAGTGGGTAGGTGAGTGGGTGGTTGAGTGGTTGAGTGATACACAGATGACACGTGAAGGCACGATTATGGTGAGAAGTACTTGACGTTGGCGAGTGCCTTGACGCGTGCGGCGGCGAGCAGCGACTGGGCGGCGATGCGGTGGCTTGCGGGTGATCTCAGGTGGGAGCGTATCCTCAGGACGTCGAGGCGGACGACGGCGATGTGCAGCAGGTACAGGAGCGAGAGCGACCAGAGGGCTAACAAGAGGTAGGAGAAATTCTCTCTTATAGCCCACATGAACTCGTCGATCTGCTTAATAAAATGAATGAGAATGGATTGTTCTTTAAGGATGTTTTTCAATGCGCTGCAAAAATCTTTGCACGAACGTTTTTTCCCGATGAAGCCATAACCGTTTAGCTTCGATGGACTCGCAAATGCGAAGCCGAATTTACATAATGTTGGACGCATCGAAGGGCAGTGAGATATGGATTTGCAGTCGGATTGATGTATTGCGGTTGCCAGCTTTTTTGACTTTTCCTCAGCAGTGGAGTCCTTTGATTCATGTGCCAATTTTACGTGGCACTTATCTGCACATCGTCTGTCGTGGCATCTGCTACCGGGAGTATCGCATTTCTTACAACATTCATCGAGCAATCTCTGAAGCATATCATAAAACGTTTCTGTGAGGTAAACGATCCAAGACAGGTATAGCTTTTTGTGCGAGGAAGAGAACACGTTATAGACATTGGAAGAGAGTGATTCGACATAATGACCACATGTGTCCTTCGCATCCGAATTGCAATTCACTATGCTCAGCAGGTTACCATTGTTGTGGCTTTTGGCGTGACCGCTGCTAGCAAACAAGGGACATGGATCAAGAGCTGTATATGCATTGCCAAAATATGCCTCGCTGACGGCATCGTTGAACGCCGTCTGTCTGTGCTCTTTGCCTTTACCATTCCAGTCATATATGAATAAATAATAAAACGCAAACATATCACCCAGAGTTTTCGGTGGAGCGGGCATCAGACATTTGAACATAAAGCACAGCTGGCGGAGGGGACCGTCAGGCCTATCGCAGAAATGAAATAAGTGCTCCCTGAGATACCTGCCGTTTTTAGTATGGGATGCAGCAATGCCAATATCGGAGAATCCCATTGGAGTGATGCATGGAATGCCATGGTGATTACTTAAACTACAGGTTAATTTACAACCAGGCGTTTTGAATGAATGTGGCAAAAAGCCTGGCAATGCGTCCTCAAGGAAGGATTGCAGCGGTGACTTAATGCCACAGTCGTAATGTTGGTCAGCTGTTTGGCCACTCTTTTGGTCACCACTTTGGTTACATGCTAGGTTATGCTTTTGGTCACAGTCTTGTTTAGGACATTGGAAATCGTTGCACTTCCAGTTTGAACCGCCGACATTTTTGCCATAATGGCAGTCTGCCCAGCCACCAAACTTAGCTTGATGGGTACATTGCAGATACAGGAAGCGTAGTTGCTGGAACAATCGATTTACTAGGTCTACAAGCATATCTAAGCAGGCACTAGCACGACTAGGATAATATAAATGGTCTGTGTTGGTATTAAATTCGCAGGCGTAACGGCCGTCTGCTTGGCCGTGACCGAGAAATTGGGTAAGCATGTAATAAGAGTGGTAGCATATACGGTCAAGTACTTTGTTTACTTGACCAGCGTCGAGGGGTGATTGAATGCCTGTTTTCATATCATCTGGAACGGCGACTTCGAGTGCTGCGTCGTTTAATTTATGTTCTTCCTGTAGGCCCTCGAGCAGTTTATTAATCTGGCCTTTAACTTGACCGAAGATTGGATTGTAGTACAACCCGGCAAGCCATTGTAACATCTGGTTCACGCTGCTCGGCGCTCTGGGTTTCGGAGGGATGTAGTAGTGACGGACCTGGTAATAATGGTGGAGGTGGCCTACAAGTTGCGTGAGTCGACCGCCGTATTGCGTATTGTCAATATCAACTATATAAACACGATTCTCTGTTATTGAGCCGCACAGGCGACGATAAATATCCCACCCATCTTTGTCTTTGTTCAGTTCTCCGTTCTGCTTATCGGCAGAGCCGGACACCTCGTAACCATGCTTCTTCAGGAATTTTCCGAGGTCAGTTTGCAAATTAACTTTTTGATTTCTCCACTTCGTCGTATGCTTACTTGCTTCCCTCAATTTAGACAGATAATAGGTTAGTATCTCAAGTACGGTCAAAAATACTTTCGACAAATTTGTGCCATAAGAAGTCAAAACATATTTTTCAGAGGGAGATTGTGCTGCAGCTTTCACAAATTCTTTCCACTCTTTTTGATCCGGATGCTCCTCATACGCATTAACATACGCCTTCTTGAGCTCCTCGGTAAATCCCTGCAGCCCTTCCTTGACAGCGTCCAGCAGCTCCGGGTGCCGCGGGTTTGCGAATTGGTTTGGGGATAGAGAGGAGAGGGAGGAAATGAGAGTATTAAGGTGACCATCAAAAGTGTAATCGTAGAGGTATTTTCTGGTAGGTGTTTTAGTGCTAGTATCATTAAAGTGAGTAAGTAAAGTGTCAAAATTAGAGTTAACATTGTTAAGCTTATTAAGGTTCTCATCGGTACGCTTGTCGTCAGGCAACTTTTCAAGTTGCTCCATGATCTGACGCTCAATATGGCTATGAATTGGAGTGAAGTATGAGTGGAACGCTTTTGCTAATTTCGTGAAAGTGTCCTTAATTGGTGTATTTGACTGATGAGACTCTGCTTCTTTTTTAATTTGCTGAAGCAGATTCTTGTCTGGAGACGTCGTAAATTGTGGTACGCCATATTTATTTATGCCAAACCTCATACCATTCAAACCTTGTAAAAGACCCTTCACGCCCGTGACTGCGTCCGCGTCGATTATTTTTTGCACTTCCCGCAGTTGCTCGTCGACGAGTTCGCGCAGGGCCTGGAGGTCGGCGGCGTGGGAGGTGGAGAAGAGGGAGCGGACGGAATTTGTGAGGGTGGTGAAGGATGTTTTGACTTGTTGGAGGAGGGCATTTTCAAGTTGTTTAACGCTGTCCTCCGCAATCCTCTGTGCCGATCGAGCAGATTTGTCGACCGCATCGATTGCTTCATATAACGATTTATCTGCTTTATCTACATTTAATGTGATAGCCGTAATGACGGCTGCAATGTTATCCCTCAATGCCTGCATCTTATCATCGACATCTTTCCTTTTCTTGTTTATTTCGCCTGTCGCATCATTTCTCTGGATTCTTTCAAGTGTGGCAAGTGGTGGCGACATCTCTCCCAGCTTCTTAAGAATAGAGCCGGATTTCGCTGCCTTGTTCAACAAAGGAGTCAGCGTATCAATTTCCTGCTTAACTGTCTTCAACGCCGCGTCAAGTTTCTTACCGTGGCTCTGTTTGCTGTTTTCTCCGTCCTTAAACTCCTTGCCAATAAGTTCGACTTTCTTAATTGCTTCATCTATTTCGTTGGCGATGGTGGATTTGCCATTTACCCTGGTTTTGTCCGTGGTGCCGTCAAGCCATGCACGTTCGGTGGAAGCTTTCTTTGCCCGTTCAGTCAGATGTTTAAGTATGCGGTTGAAGGCGGAATAGAGAAGGTTGTCAGCTTGTGTATCTTTCTTGGACTTAACCACCAACCCGCTGTCGCTGTCATATTCTGCAACAATTTCGGGAACTATCTTAGAGCTTTTAAATTCTGCCGATTGCATACTCTTCGTCAGCTCTTGGACGAATGAATCAATACAAGTTTTTATCTTTGTTAAATTAGTAGCGATTCCAGCTTTGTCAGAGTTTTCTACAGCAGTAACGCCTGTAATTATGCTTTGAAGCTTCGAGTCAATAACCTTTCTAATATGCTTTATAACCTTTTGTTTTATCCCACCTTGGTCCTGTTGCTGAAAATAGCCAGAGCGCTTGTTACTCAAAATATAAGCATCAATCGACAAATCCACTGTTCCTCCAGTTCTCAAAACATCATTTAACCATTCATCTACAACACTACTTTTAAACTTCTCTTTACTGAACTCCCCAGCATAATCCTTTACTTTATTCTCAATCTCACCAAGATGGCCGGATGTACCATCATAACCATAGGAAATACTCTCACAAAGCAGAGTAACCTTTGCCTTAAGAATCTTCCAATTGTACTCTATACTTTCCTCATTTTTACCTATAAGGCTAATCGTATTTTTCTTCAAGGTCTCAAAGTGTTCTTGCGTCTGCTCCACTAACTTATCAAGATCAAATTTCTTGGACAACAAGGTAGTGTAAACTCCATTGATCTGCGTTGTGACTTCATCAAGAAATCCCAAAATCTCAACTCGCGTGGTTCCGGTGGGATTTCCTAACCACTCATCAACCTTCAACTTTGCCACATCCAAAGAGTCTCTGATAACTTTGAAGTGTTCATGCCTTTGTCTATGCAAAATATTCATGTTTTTCAAAATCTTCCCAAACTCCTCATCCAACGTCACCTGCACAATATGAGTCTGCATATTGATCTTTCCTTCCAACTTGTTCTTCTGCTGCAGCAACTCATTGTCCACCTCAGTCACCATCATCTCAAGGCCGCCATCCCCAGCCACCTTCCCCAAGTGCGCCACCACCTTTTGCACGGGCTCAATTTTACGCGTGATCTTATCGCTAAGTGCGGGATCTAATTTAGAAACATTAGTGATTATGTTGTCGTTAATGTGAGTATTAATGTCCTCGACTGTCTTGGTCCAGTTGTCCAGTTGCTCCTTGAGGGGCTTGTCTTGTTGTCTTGAAACATCTTGAACATATTTACCTGAATGAGATGTTAAATCATCAAGTAACCTACCTAATTCAATTGTAACATTGGACGTCGAACCTGCAACATATTGATTATAATATTTCAACCACTCACTTACCTGAGACACGGCGTCACCGAAGGCCTGACGGCCTTTACCTACATTAGAGTTAAGAGTCTCAATAATTTTATTAATGTTTTCAGTTTTATGATCATATTTCTTCACACTCTCATCACCCTTCACAGTCTCAAGAACACCATGAAGGAAAGACATCACCCCGTCGCACAGCCTGTCAAGGTCCGAGTACACGATGCCGGAGCCGGTGTAACTCCCGTTACTGAAGCCGAGAAATTTTTCGAGGCCTGTGCAGAGGTTATCTAAAAGGTTTTTACAAGCATCTTTATTTTGTTGTTTTTTATCAACTTTCTCAGCATATCCACAAAGCTCATTCAGTGTCTTAAGAGACTTCATGGAAGCCTGATGAGACTGAAGAACCTTATTAAGCTTGTCAATATGAGAGGCATTTTTAGGGGATTGAGTGGCAATTTAAATATTAAAAAGGAGGATGAAATGGCACATTTTCAGGGCGATTTGGGGGAATTTGGGGAAGGGCGATTTTAGGTCAAGGAGGCAGTGAGGGAGCGAGGGAGGTGGGTGGACAAGGCGATGGAGGTGAAGGGGCGAAAGAGGGCGATGAGGGAGGAAGATGGGTTGAGGAGAGGCGGTTTTGGGGGTGGAGGGAGGAAGGTGAAAATTGAGGATTTCGGGTGAAGGACGCCGACGGAGGAGGTGATGGAGGAGGGAGCGAAGCGACCAGTGAAGGAGGAGGTGAGTGGTTGAGTGGTTGAGTGATTAGGTGAGTGGGTGGGTGATTAGGTGGTTGAGTGGTTGAGTGGGTGAGTGGGTGGTTGAGTGGTTGAGTGAGTGAGTGGGTGGTTGAGTGAGTGGTTGAGTGGTTGAGTGATTAGGTGAGTGGGTGGGTGATTAGGTGAGTGGGTGAGTGGGTGAGTGAGTGAGTGAGTGGGTGAGTGGGTGGTTGAGTGGTTGAGTGGGTGAGTGGGTGAGTGGGTGGTTGAGTGGGTGAGTGAGTGAGTGGGTGGGTGGTTGAGTGGGTGAGTGAGTGGTGAGTGAGTGGGTGGGTGAGTGGGTGGTTGAGTGGTTGAGTGGTTGAGTGGGTGGTTGAGTGAGTGGGTGAGTGGGTGGTTGAGTGAGTGGTTGGGTGGGTGGGTGAGTGAGTGAGTGGGTGGGTGAGTATGTGGGTGAGTGAGTGGGTGAGTGAGTAGGTGGGTGAGTGAGTATGTGAGTGGGTGAGTGGGTGAGTTGGTGGTTGAGTGGGTGAGTGGTTGAGTAGTTGAGTGGGTGATACACAGATCACACGTGAAGGCACGATTATGGTGAGAAGTACTTGACGTTGGCGAGTGCCTTGACGCGTGCGGCGGCGAGGAGCGACTGCGCGGCGATGCGGTGGCTTGAGGGTGATCTCAGGTGCGAGCGTATCCTCAGGACGTCGAGGCGGACGACGGTGATGTGCAGCAGGTAGAGCAAAGAGAGCGACCAGAGGGCTAATAAGAGGAAAGTGAAGAAGTTGAGAAATGTTGAAAGATGATTATTAAGGATATTTTCAGGGCGATTTGGGGGAGTTTGGAGAAAAGCGATTTTAGGTGAAGGAAGCGGTGAGGCAGCGAGGGAGGTGGGTGGACAGGGTGAGGGAAGTGAAGGGGCGAAAGAGGGCGACGAAGGAGGAAGATGGGTTGAGAGAGGCGATTTAAGGGGTGGAGGGGAAATGTGGAAAAAGAGGATTTGGTGAGGGACGCGACGGAGGAG